GCAGGCAGAAACTTAACTTACTACGCCGCCGCGCCAGCCCCGTTTGTTAATGTCATCTTGTGGATTCTTTAACCCTATGGGGAAAGAAATGTTTTTCCCCCTTTTCCTAGGAAAAGAAATTGAGGTCCAGAGAAATCCAGTCATGTCCCCGGGGTATGGGATGGGAATTGGGAGTCCCGGGGTTTGAACCTTCGTCCCGTGCACGGTTAGCCTCGTGCACCAAGCCTCCAGTCGCTGCTCGTGCCTCTGACCCCGTCCTGCAGGTGGTGAAGGCGTTCATCGTCCTACACCCGCAGTTCCAGTCCCATGACAAGCAGCAGCTCATCAAGCAGCTGCAAGAACACGTGAAGGCCGTGACGGCGCCCTACAAGTACCCACGAAAGGTGAGCAGGGCCCAGCGTGGGGGCGTGGGCAGCCTGGAGTCGGGCCAGGTGTCTTGCCATTCCACATCTCAGATGTGGCGTGGGAAAGCGAGGACTTTAGCCACTAGGCTACCGCACCAGACCCAAAGACCTAAATTTTAAATGCTGAGTGCAACCCACAGAAATTCTTAACTATAGAGCAAGAATATTATCCTGAGATTTTAAATGGTGGTACTTATTTTTGTTTGTGATCAACAAATGGCTCAATAATATGAGATACAAAGGGAAAAAAGCAGGCTATGAAGCAATACATGTGGTGTCTCCTACGTTTAGGACACAGCGTGAAGCGTGTCCACCACTAGCGTTTCCTGCTTTTGTCCTGCGCACGGGGTCGTCTCAGTGCGTGTGGTTCCTGCATGTTACAAACCCACCTGGCTCCTGCTGCTCTCCCCTGTACATCTCTCTACGACCCGAGCTAGCACACCGCCAGCCCATTTCACAGACTCACAAAACTGAGCCTTCAAGATGCAGAACAAATTGCCTAAGCCATCAGTCAGTACAGGACAGGGCTAGAACTGCAACCACGTCGCATCTGACCACAGAGTTTGTGCTTCTCCCTTGAGGGGGAGGCTGTCACAAAGAGTGTAGACTGGATGAACTACAGGCCGTGTGCCCCCGTGGCTCTGCTGAAACCTGTGCGTGTCATGACTGCTCATCCTGGGACAATGGCCGAATAAAACCTGCCTGCTGGGTGCTGGATGGAGGAGAGGGAGGCCGGTGCAGTGGCCCCGACTCTACTGCCTGGCGGTGACCCGGTTCACCTGCACCCACACTTCATTGATCAGAACAAGTTACACGGCAGCGTCCGGCCTCGCCACCTGCACAGAAGCAGAGCTGCAGGAAGAAGGGGGTGGGACAAGGGCAGGACTGAGTGCGATTCCCTTTCTCTCCACCAGGTGGAGTTCGTCTCAGAGCTGCCCAAAACCATCACGGGCAAGATTAAGAGGGACACTCTTCGCAAGCGGGAGTACGGTCAGCTGTGATGGGGACAGAGGCGGAACCCACCCACACCGTGTGACCTCGGACCCATCCCCGGCTGCCTCAGTGTCCCCCATGTGGTCGGGATGAAGATGAGGGGTTGAATGGCATGTCAGGACTGCCAAGAATTTTCGCTCTTTTGTGTTAGTCCTCTTTGGGGTTTGGACAGCCCACATGGGTGCAGGAGCCAGGGCTGCGGATCATAAAATACAATCATTGACTTCAACAGCGCCTGTGTGACACCCTTGTTTTGTGAATGGGTCTGTGCCAAACACCTTCCAGAATCCCCCAGTCCCGCACTCACCCCCACGCCTCCACAGCCCTGAGCACCCATCCAACAGCCCGAATACAGAGACCCAGGAAGGACATTCTAGGTGGCCCTGAGGACCCATCCCTGCTGGCCTCAGCCCACACCCTGCAGAAGGGGAAGAATCTGCCCTCCCTGCTTCCCCACCCCGGTGGTCACTATCGGGCACACAGAGGTCACGTTCAAGAGGAATCATAGACCCCACAAGCTCTGAGGGCTGTGGGCGTGCAGACACGGGCAGCCTCACCCAAGCACTCGCCTGTGTGGTTCACGGTCAGACACGTGTAGGCCCACACAGGTGCACACACAGCCCCACAGGGCAGAACCTCCTACAGAGAGGATGCACACACAACACCAAGATCCTGCCCATGGGTCAGCCAGGCAACCCTCCTACTGCTGTGGGCACTGCCATGGGCAAAGAGGGAGAGAGGAGACCCTGGCCCAACCTGCCCCAGCTCAGCTCTCATGGTGATGGGGGCAGGGGTATTTGCTAGATTCCAAACCCAACGCTGGGCAACTATCCCTCTCAGGTCTCCCAAGGTGGTACTCAGACCCTTGAATGCGTGGCGACTGAGGAGGGGACGGGAGGAGTGGGGGAGGCAAATGAAAGAGGCTGGGCCCCTGCCTGAGTGCCGTGAGAAGCCGGGTGTCACAGAGGCTCAGCAGGTCTAGAGGCTGCGAGAGGAGAGTCGTGTCCAATCCGGACCCTGCCCCGCCTCACCAAAGCACATAAACAGGAGCATCGGTGACTGTTAGAGCAGGAGCTGGGGGGGAGGGGAGGGGTGGGGCGGCGCGGGAGCTTGGCCCCTTGGCTTTGCCCCTTCTCAGTAGGGAGGCCCACCTCTCCAAGCCTGGCAGGTAGCTTCTCTCTGGCCCCTTCTGCTTGGGGACCCCTAGACCCCAGCTTCTCGCTGCTGTCTGAGCCCCAAGTCCCCACTCGTTTCTGCTCTGCCTAGGCGCAGCCCGTTCCCCGGCTGCTCTACTCTGTGAGCTGTGCAAAGCAGACTAGCAGTGGATAGTGCCTGAGGCTCCCGGGAAGATTTACAGAGAGGAGAGAATGAGAGGAAGATCTTTCATCCACTGATTCACTCCCAAGTGGTGGCAATGGCTGGAGCTGAGCGGACCCAAAGCCAGGTCTCCAGGTGTCATGTGACTTCGGCTGTCACGTGACTTCGGATGTCATGTGACTTTGGGTGTCACGTGACTTTGGGTGTCATGCGACTTCGGGTGTCATGTGACTTCAGGTGCCACGGGACTACAGGGCCCCAAGGCTTCCCCGCTTTGGCTGCGCCTTCAGAGTTTAAAGTGGACCGGTGAGTTTGTTTCTTCCTTGGGATTTCACACAATTCTTTCAAGGCTGCCGTAGCCCGGAATGAGTTTGGGACACTGGGCAGTCAGGCAGGAAGGATCTGGAGGGATTTGAGCAAAGAGCAGAGAGTCCCAGGAAAGACCACTCATGCTGGGAGTTTGGTCTGGTCCTCTGGGTTCCCAGGACCCTGCCCAGCTGCTTGGAACTCACCATCCATCACTCCTTGTGCTATCTGACATCCTGGGTCTTTAAGATGCACGCCTGTCTTTGGAGATCAGCCATGGGAGTCAGCAAGGCACCTGCTCTCTCTGGCTGCAAAACTTACAGCGAAGAGGCAGTGGAGCGGCTTGGGTCAGAGATGTTCCTCCTGCTAGTTCAGATGTCTCACTCAGCTTGGATCTGACAGCATGCAACGCAAAAGATGGGAGAGGGGAACTGTATCCTCATGTTACCATGATCATAGCATTATTGTGGTCACATGGTCATAGCGTTAGCATGATATAGTTCAGATATAATCTTCCCCCTTTGTTGCTCATCTCCCTGCTTCTACTCAGAGGACTTCCAACCGCCTAGCAATTTCTAGAGAGCTTTTTCTCATTGGCTCCTAGCACAATTACAGTGTTGGACACATACTTTGAGGTTTCATTCCTCAGAAAATGCTGAGACTTACTGTGCAGGCAAAATCAATAGGGCTAATGTTGATAAATGTGCAATATGCACTTGAACTCCACGTGTTTCCTTAAAAGCTGGTCTCGACACGATTGCGTTAGAAAAGATCGGCCATGAAAGCCTTCTACAATTCACTGGTGCTTCGGCTACTCTTGCGTACATTCCAAAGAGATGGATGTGACTCGCCGGTTTGTTTTCAGTTACTTAACACGTGTCGCAGTTAAGACCAACTCTCGTATCTGTCTTTGCAGATATTAGGATCTGGATCTTTTAAAACCATGGAGCGCACAGGAAGAATCTGCCCAGAAGGGGGCGCAGGCGAGCTGAGTCGGGCAGCACCAGAACTAGAAGCTGTGAGAAGTTTACAGTGGGGTCCTGTTCTTAGCTCAGCTCCTGGCACTCTGTCCGCCAGGGGCATTCTAAGAACAGGGTGGGGTTGCATACAGGTGGGGCCTCCACTGTGCCAGGCCAAAGGGAAAGGCAGCGGATTGGTCGAGAGAGTATAAAATGTCAGAGTTGGTAAGGTGACCACCAAACAGGAGAAGATTTGGAGGAACGAAGGTCCCTGTCCAAGACCCTCCACCTTCTGAGAATCCCACACATGCTGTGTGTGCTGGTTCTGCAGACCAAGTACTGCTGACCTATTGTTGCCGGAATCTGCTCCTTGCAGATGATGCCAAATGAGAATAATGAGAACAAAATTTGAGAGGAAAGAACACAGACACTCGAATCTATTGACAAGTGAGGGTGGCGGAGGTTGAGGGTCTAAGGACTGCTGTCCTGCCACGTGGGGACTGTGTGAGGCCTGCGAGGAGAGCTAAAGGGAAGTTAAGCTGCTGCAGAAGTGACCTGTGGCGAGTTAGGGGTGCAGAGACAGGTGCCGCAGCCTGCATGGGGGGCCCCTAACAGGGACCTGCTTGAGAATCTTGCTCAGTGGCTTGTCTCCATCGTGTTGGGTGAGCGGAGGTAGCCGGTTGTTCTGCACAGCTCAACAGCCCCACAGTGTTCTGTGGCTGAGATCTAAGCAAGGTAAGAGAGTCCAGGGTCTCCTACTCAGGACGAAGTCCACTCAACCTAGAGCCCAAGCGTACTGAGCCTTAGAAACTCGTCCCCCTTACACTCTGCCACAATAAGCTGGATCCCCTGGTGAGCCAGATGACATTGCAACTTCCTGTGTCACACATTTTACCTTCTCCTTTTACCGTTGACCCCTGGAACACCGGTCTCCAGTTTATGACATTCTATTAAAGGGAATCAGATATAATTGGGGTTTTCTTCGTTGCTGTTAGGTCATAACAACCAAATATTGATCCATATGCTTTTCCGTATTAGTAGCTTGATCCTCTTCATGAAAGTAGAATTCCTTCATCTTGAAGGTAATGCAACTTGCTTCTCTGTTACTTTGGAAAGCAGTGTGGAAATTATTTTCTCATTAATCTTTCCCCTTCAAGCAACTGCCCAGTCACTGGCTCTTGGGTGAACCCTCACAGTGGAGCACAATCCCACAATGAATTGACTGGAGAAAAATCCAGCTGGAATTGTACCAGCAGCACATACAATGTCCATCGCTTGGGGACTCTCAGTCACAAGAAAGCTCCCTGACACGAGACATCTTGACTTTGCTAATTGCCACCACTGTTTTCTCGCAAACATGTGCACATGCATAGCACTGCTTGATTATTTTAACCAACATGCTAAGAGTGACTGCTCACACTGAAAAATATACACTTGCAGCTGAACTATATCAAGCCCTGAAATGTGATTGTCACCCCCCAGGAAGTGCCCTGACTTCATCCCAGACAGACAGTCCCTGCCCTCCTCTGATTAATTTGGCTTTTCCTAGAATTTGATACAAGCAGAGGCATGCATGCTATGTTTGCTCTCCTGTCTGCCTTCATTTGCGCAGCCCCGTGTGTCTGGAATCACCCAGCTTATCCCATGAATCAGGAATTAATTTTCTGCCAGAAACTCAACAGACATTCTCATGACTGTCTCCACTCCATTCTTGGTCTTGAAGGAAACACTGTGTTTTCCGAAACCTGCACAATTATCCAGAAATTCTGCACTGCCCCACAAAAATGCACAGGAAAGCTGGAGAAGTGATGAGAAATGAGCCAAGCTATCAGGCGAGGCGGAGTACTGCCACTGCCCCTCAAGGCTGAACCACAGCATGGGCTGTGTGAACCACGGGACGTTTGGCTTTGAATTCCTTTACTCTCTAGACCAAGGACAAAAGTCATGGGATTCATTTGATTTGAAGTTTTCTATCTTCTTTGCTTTGCCCTCATTGCTCACCCAGATGCAATCCCAATAACGCCCAGTGGAAATGGTATAGATGCTGCAAAGCATTTCATGCCTCCAAATGCTTTTCTTTTTCTCATTTCTGTATATGCTTGACATAGGCCTTGGCCCTTGTCTGGACCAACCGCTTTCCATCAACGGTAGATGGAGCTGGAGCGTAGATTTGGTTGACTTTTCATCCTTTCAGCTGATCGCCCGCTGATGAGTGGGAATCATGCTTCAGAGTTTGTCTCCATCCTTCGTGCACATATAGGAAAATGAAACACGTGCAGAGAACATGAACAATGTGCTATGCCAACAAATGCCTCAGGAATATCAGTGTGACACAGGGTTCCCCTTACACAACTTACACCTTTGATGCGGGACAAGTAGTTCGTGTCTTAGGAGATCAAACGTGGATAATCACTCACAAGGAATTGGGTTCTTGGGAATGAAGTCATGACCAAGTGTGCTTGCCTCAGGTTAAAATTTCCACTGACAAATCCTTGCTCAAGGAAGCGATGCTGAGGAGTGAAGACCAAGAAGTAGGAAAGAAACTGCTCACAATCTACAATAGCAGTTTGCCTACTGAGCCCGCTCTCATTTCAGAATCTTGCACTCTGTAGGTAGCCTTCAGTCCAGCTTGACAGGATTTGCCCTGAGTCTCAGCACTTGCCAGCTGATGCTGTGGCAAAGCCCAACCAGCCTGCACTTATCTGGCTCATGCATGCACCAGTGGAAAGAGTTGGTTAGCCCAGCCTGGCTCTCCTCCTAATGCAATTTATGCACAGGCCAACAGGTGTTGTAACCTTGCCCAGCCTGGTCTTCCTCCAATCCTAGTCTCATGCTTGTTAGTGGGAGCAGTGGCCCAGCAGGGTAGCCCATGCACCCCCCCCCCCACCAGACACATCCATCTCTCTGGGTCTCACGTGTACTGATGGGTGCTGCAGCCCAGTCTGGCATGACCCGACTCATCTTGACATTCACCAGCGGGTGCTGTCACCTAGCCCGGCCCAATCTGTGCCTGATTCCAGCTCATGCTGATGGGTACTGCAACCTAACCCAGTCCAGCTAGCCCCAGTCCCGGCCCTGATGTGAAGTGGCTGGTACTGTGGCTTGGCCCAGCCTGTCCTGCATCCCATCCTCATCTCCGATCTGCCAGTGGGTGTTACAAACTGGCCCAGCCTGGTCAACCCCCAGACTTGACCCATACATATGCTGGTGAGTACTGTAACATGGCCTGGTTTAGGCTGCTCCTTGCCTTGGTCCTTGCACTCACGTGTAGGGACTGCGTCCTGATAAAGGAGTTCCCCAAGCTCCTCTATCAGATATCTTACCAGTGGCAAATCTCGTGCACACCAATGGGTTCTGGGCCGAGGCTGACTTAGTCCACCTCCTGTTCTGGCAGGAACTATGCCCTTGCCCAACTGGCCCACACCTATTCCAGTTCTTATTGTATCTCAATCCCTTCTGTGTGTACAAACCTGCAATAACAGTGCCTTCATAGCATCATGCAGGCACACCTGTAACCATCTTGTCTCCCATTTGTCTTAAGGTCTTGAGACATAAGTCAAAGACCTGGGCAGCAGAGTTGAAAGTCTTGAGGTCTAACATGCATGGATGGGAAGGTATATAGATTGCTGAGTGGGAAATCCCATAGAGCGGAAAGCATGTAGGCCGGGAAGGTGAAGAATGACTCCTAGCCAGCAAAGCCACAGACCCCCACCCCAGCACACACACAGAATTCCTTTATCTTTCATAGAATGTAGCAAGAGCCTGCAACACACTGTAATGTGTTGTCATCAGTGAAAGTAAAAACAGATTCTGAGTTTGAGACTCTGCTGATGCCCCTGGACAATCTTCATCAGATTTACAAAAATCTACAGAGAGCTGGAGAGGAGTAAGATGTTCATGTGTTCATTTTGACACACTGTTCTGTCAACATGTGTAGACAAATGGTTCATACATTTTAGTATAATTCCTGCGCTGTTATTATTGTCATGTTCACTCAGTACACAAGTGTGATTATCCTTTTTGCCTCAATTTCTAGAGCCTGCTTTTTTTTTTTTTTCCTTTTCACTCTGGCTAGTGTCAGAAATTCCAATCACCTATTTGAGGTCAGTGGGGTTACCGGCTGAAGCATTGACAGTTTGGTCATGCGGATTCCCTCTGGGTCCGTGGACTACGCCCTTTACATTTTAACACAGTGGTCTTGACTTGCTGTTGTTTAGTCAGATGTTGGGACAAAAAGCACTGAAGTCTGGTGTGATTGATGTAGCAGCAGACAGGTGGTCTGGGTACTGTCAGGACTGGATGCTTGAATCCAGCCTGCAACTGAGATCACAGCACGTCTGTGTCTCAGCCAGCCCATGGAATTCGGTGAGCTCCTTTCTGTAGCAGCCACTAAAGCCCACCGTCTCCCTTCTCATGCCAAGGCTGCCCACCTGCCTTGTTTCTCAGTAGTCTCTTCTGAAACTCACTGATGGGGCACCAGGAACTTAGCCCCAAGCACCAAGCTGACCTTAGGTCTTGGTGTCCTTCTCCAGCATGGCTCATGTTTCCTACCTGGTTTGGTACCAGTTTGATGCATTCAATCACCTGTTGTTCTCAGGAGAGATCAGGAACTTGAGACCTACCTGTCCAGGTTCAAGGACGGAAATCTTCCTTATGATTCCCCCAAGACTCGGGTTTCGTGTTCTTCCTTCTCAAGCTGTGTCCTCGCTGACATCTTCTTGCATGACAATGGTGAGGTCACTCAGGTTGAGGAGGACAGCACTGTGCCTTCTGTCCCCAATACTTTATATCATACCCGCTTCATTAGAGTCGCTTTAGAAAGCATGGCTCAAGGATGGCTTGGGTGGCCAGAAACAAATGCACAAAGCTTCTATTAAGTGTTTTTGTCCCCTGTATGTACAGCTCTCTCATCTTCCAAAGGCGATCAGGAGAAGCAATGGAGGACGGTCCCAAGTGCTTGGGCCCCTGCAGCCACGTGGGAGACCCAGAAAATACTCCTGGCTACCCCCTGATCCAGTCCATTGCAGCCATTTGGGGAGTGAACCAGCAGATGGAAGATCTCTTTCTCTGTCTCTCCTTCCCTATTTGTAACTCTCTAAAATAAGTTAAACATTTTTTTTAAGTGTTCAATTTAGCACCATCCCTTGCCCACGTCTTTTGCTCCTTTCAGGTGAGCAGGCGGGGTGGGGGGAGAGGGGGCGGGAGCTGCAGGTGCTAACAGCACAGCACCTGTTTTTGCTCCTTTGTTCCGCCAAAACTTCCAAGTCCACCAACTCGGTCCTACAGACCCTGCCGCTCAGCGCGGGGCCAAGGTGCCCGCCTCTGCCTGGCTCCGCCCAGCGCGGGAAGGTGAGGCCATGGGGGGCGGGGCCACGCTCTGCGGCCCGGGGTGGGGGTCGGCCCCTGGCTGGGTAACTACATCATCCCGGCGGGCTAGTCCCACACCTGCCGCCATCCACGCACGGGTCCGCTACCTCTGTGCCTGCCAATGCTGCTGCTGCTGCTGTTGCTGCTGCTGCTGCCGCTGGGACCCGAGCCGGGATGCACAGCGGGTGAGTTGGGGGAATCGCGTTCCTGGGAATCCCCCGGGACTCCCTAGGGACCCCAAGAGTCCTCCAGCCCCCAGCCCTCTTTTCTGATGCCTACTCACACTGCCTTCCCAGGAACCGTGTCCCTCAGCCCTCTGCAGGGGCGCCCCCAGCCCACTCACTCCTGGCAGGGGTTGGAAGCCTCCCCAAATCTCCTCTCCTCCCCCTGAGCCTCTGCAGCCATGGAGCCCTCCTCACCTTCTTCCTGGTCTGTGGTCCTACCCACAGACCTCTCATCTTCACGAGGGTCTCAGGTGGGCTCACCAGATGGGCACCAGAGGGTAGGAAAAGAACTTCTTGTCCCTTTCTCACTCAACCCTGAGGGGCTCACCCAAAGGAGCTCGCTCGGTGACCCATGGGAAAAGCATACGGACACGGACAGCAGCCCCCAGACTCACCTGGACACTCAGGTGTGCAGTGGCTGGTCAGGTTCACCTACAGAGCCCAGCAGCAAACTGACGGGAGCCGATGCTCATGTGACTCCAGGACGCCCGAAAACAGCTCCAGGACACATGTGGGTGCCCGATGAGTGCGTACGCACACTTAAACACACACATACTCCTAGTGCTGGGGGTATCAGATGCCCACAGCAGCACTGGCACTCCCCAGGGAGGCTGCCGCATGCAGACAGAGCAAACAGACCACAGTGTGACCTGCCCCACCTATGTTGGCACAGAGGGAGTTTTCCTTGGTTTCAAACCCAGTGCCACAGGCCCGCCCCATGCCCGGGCCCTGCAGAGATACCAGAAGGCAATTAAGCCAAGTGGGAGGACAGCTGGGGACACTGGGGACTGGGAACTTGTGGGAAGAAGCTGAGAGTGTAAGAGGGTTCCACGGTCACTGCAGAGGCTCTGCTCTGACAGGTGCTGCCTCAGTGCCAGGGAGCCAGTCCCTAAGATGTCCAGGCTGCAGCCCCCTTTCCTCTCAACCAGCCAACAGCAGCCCAAGTAGCAAGGGTACACCCCCGGGGGGGAAGGGGAGGCAGCCAGGAGCTGTCTGAGAACAGAGTGAGAGAGTGAGCTGAACTGAGCCCAGGTGTGACATGTGTCTCTGCCCAGGTGGGAGGGAGGAGTGACCCCTGCAGGGCGGAGACGTGACCCCTCAGGGCATCAGAGGGCAAACTTTCTCCACACTCAGTGAGAGCCACGGAAGGGTTAGAGGCAGAGGCCGGGCGTCCGGGAGAGTGAAGGCAAGGTGAGGCTTGGAGCCTCGAGCTCAGGTTCACATCTTCTGCCAGTGCAGTTCATCTGCATCCTCTCTCGTGTGACTCTGCCACTTTGGTCTCAGCCCGTCATGGAGGTCTGTGTGGGGAACGCAGGTTCTAGAATGCCTCACCCTCTGCCAGGCCTCGGTCCAGGAGCGGTGGAGAGCGATCTCCCCACACACAGGCCACCCTGGGCACAAGATGCCCCTCTGTTGCCAATGCCCCTGGGCTCGGCAGTCTGGCAGGCCTCCCTCCCCTGCAGTTACTGGGTCAGGAGGAAGGAACACTACTTGGGGAGGCCAAAGCCAAGGTTGGCATCTGAGGTCAGACCCTTGCTGGCTGTGTGGCTGTACGAGTCCCCTGATTCCTGCCGGCCTCTTCCTCCACATATGGCAGGTGCAGGGTCCCAGTGACATTGGTCACTCTGGCTGTGTACCCCAGATAAATAGACACATCTCAAAGAACTTCCTGCCTGGGCAGGGAAGGCAAAAAGGAGATTCAGGGGCCCGGCGCGGTGGCGCAAGTGGCTAAGTCCTCGCCTAGCACGCCCGGGATCCCATATGGGCGCCGGTTCTAATCCCGGCAGCCCCGCTTCCCTTCCAGCTCCCTGCCTGTGGCCCGGGAAAGCAGTCGAGGACGGCCCAAAGCTTTGGGACCCTGCACCCGCGCGGGAGACCCGGAAGAGGCTCCTGGCTTCGGATCGGCATAGTATCGGCCCGTTGCGCTCACTTGGGGAGTGAATCATCGGACGGAAGATCTTCCTCTCTGTCTCTCCTCTCTGTATATCCGCCTTTCCAATGAAAAAATAATAAAAATAAATCTTTAAAAAAAAAAAAAAAAAAAAAAGGAGATTCAGGAGGTTCCAGACCAGTGCCCAGTGGGGGAGGAGAGGACAAGGTGCCCAGGGAGCCCTCCTTGACAACAGGGATGCCAGCTAGCTTTCTCTGATGTCCCATGCCAGCACAAGCAGTTGCACAAACACTTGACACATGGCTCGCAATCAGATTGCACTTGAAGTCAGCAGGGATGGGGGCTGGCTCTCAGGGTCTTCCAGGGGAAGACAGCAGCCCATGCAAAGGTCTAGTGGTAGGTCCTCCGACACCTGCAATGGTCTCTCTCTCTCTTTTTTTCCTTTCCCTGCTGTTTTGATGATATAGATTACAACATAATAGTTGGGTACCAAGTATTTGACTATGCCCTAAGATAGCTTCATCGCCCATCTCACAGGTCAGGAAACTGAGTCCCAGAAAAGATAAGTGAGGTATGCACAATCACACACAGCTGGGTAGGAAGATTTGAACCCAGGAGTAAGGCTGCAATGTTCAGGAGGCCCTTCTCAGGGCTCTTAGGGCTGGGGAAACCCTGACCTTTGACCTCTGACCTCTGTTTGTCATGCCCACTCCACTTGCTACCCCCAGCCTCCAGGTCACATGTGCAACGGCGTGGGATTCTGGATCTGGCAGGGACCGTGAACTGTGTCGGCACCCGAAACCCCATGGCCTATGTCGACTACGGCTGCTTCTGTGGCCTGGGTGGCCACGGCCAGCCCCGCGATGCCATTGACTGGTGAGTTTGGGTTTGGGGCACAGGCTGGAAGGTCCTCCCCACTAGTCGAGACCTGGAGGACTCTCAGGGACAGCTGGGTTCTGATGCAGCCCTCATCTGTAGTTGGAAGCTGTGATCGTTGCCCAGAGCTCCTGATTTTTCCCCTTAGATGCTCTGGGCTCCCGGAGTCCCCTGTGCCCTGGCCTTTGCTATGCTCATATCTGGTTACCTGTCTGCCCTACCTCACAGAGGACAGGGCCAGAGCTAGCTGACTTCTCTGCACCAGACTTCCCTGAGGGTTCTGAAAGGTGAGGCTGGCAGGTGGATGGAGAGAATGCCAGGAATGTACAGGAGGACACATGGCTGATTGACAGGTGTAGGGACCTTGGTGCAAGCTCCTCAGGGAACTGTCCAAAGGTCCAAGTTTATACCGAGTCCGACCATGTGTCAGAGCTTGGGTTGGGCCTGGGATGCAAACATCAGCTGGAATTTTAAGGAATGCAATGAAGAGAAGGAGGTTGATTTTACAAGAGGGTGTAACAAACCCAGAGAGACAGGAAGAGGCTCAGGGTAGCAGCCCGGCTGGAGGCTGGTGGTTGGGCTAGTCTGGAAAAATGACAAGTGGGCATGGGATCGTCCCAGGCACAGGGTAATGTCAGGGCTAAGTGAGGGTAGAGCTTGGCTCTCCCTGAGAACGGAGAGGTGGCCCAAGGGTGAGAGCCCAGGCATTTGGAGAAGGAACAGACAGGGGTCAGGCCCAAGGAATTCCGCAGTGGGGCGGGATCAGGGCAGCCCAAGCTGGGGCCAGTGGTAGTACAGGGATCCTGAAGATGCTAGCTCCTTGGGGCAGGGGGAAGGGAGTGGTCAGAAAAAGGGGTGGCTAGGAGAGCTCCCTGCACACACTCACTTGTGTGTCCACCTGCAGGTGTTGCCATCGCCATGACTGCTGTTACAGCCGCGCGGAGGAGGCTGGCTGCAGCCCCAAGTTGGAGCAATACCCCTGGCAGTGTGTCAATAAGCAGGTCCAGTGTGGTAAGTCCTCAGCACTACACACATGAGCTGTCGCCCGGCACTCTAGCACTGCCCAGGGTGTGTACGACCCCCATGGGAATCACGTTCTCTAGCTGTCCGTTCTCCACGGGCCACCCCTGGATTTGTCTTGTGGAAGATGCTGAGTACTTGGAAAGCAAAGAAGCTGTTTCTTTGCTGTTTGGACAAAAAGGAAAACTAGAGAAATGACAGCTGATCAAAGCAGCCATGCCCATCAGAATAGGCCTGGGTAAATTATCCCTGCCCAGCCTTGGTCAGGACAGGTATTGGAAATCAACAGATGGAAACCCTCTATATATGTCTTTCTTTGCCTGTCTATGTCTCATATAAATAAGCTAACAGTCATCATCTTAACATGTGAAACTCGGGGGCTGCAACAGCACCAGCAGAGCCCATTGGCTGGAGATTAAGGAACTACCACTCACAGGTATGGCCTCTGTCTTTCTTCTGCCACAGTTTCCACTATGCCGCATTGTCCGGCTGACAGTGAAGTGTCAATAACCACGTTTCAGTTCCCTGATGGAAATAGTGTTTTATTTAAATGTAGGAAAGCAGAAGATTGCCCAGAAGCTTGAATGTTTCAAAAAGTAGGAGAGATGTGAGTTGAGTTCATTGCAAATTTTGATGCACTGCCTGTGTGTCTCATGTTAACCCCAGCTGCTCTGGTGGGCACCTGAGTTTGCAACCCCTGGCCTCATGGCCAACAGCTCAGTCACTGGTTCAGATTCCTTTCCAGTGCAAGACTTCAAGCAGGTTTCCTCATCAGGAAACTGGGAGCAGAGATCAAGGCTGTTACAGAAATGAAGCGACAGTAACATGGGGCTTTATACATAGCAGGTGTCACTGCAAAAATGACCCAACATAGAACCTCCAGGGAGGATGACCAGGGGGAGGAACAAGGGGCAGGAGAGGGGAGGCCACCAGGACTTGGGGCAGTGCATGGATGCAGCTCTAACTAACCCTGAGCCTGGGTATGTCACACACAGAGAATCAGAGACCATTTGTGGTCCCTTGAGTCTGGCTTCTTCCTGCGGTTCATTCAACTCCGGCCCTGGCTCTGGCCCTCTTATAGGCAAATATATTCCATTTTATGGATGTGCTACTTTAAAAAGGTTTATTTTATTTTTATTTTTATTTCAAAAGTAGATTACAGGGGCCCAGCATGGTAGCTCCATATGAGCACCGGTCCATATGCCGGCTGCTCCATTTTCCATCCAGCTCCCTGTTTGTGGCCTGGAAAAGCAGTGGAGGATGACCCAACGCCTTGGGACCCTGTACCTGCATGGGAGACCTGGAGGAAGCTCCTGTCTCCTGGCTTCAGATCAGCTTGGCTCCAGCCATTGCAGCTGCTTGGGGAGTGAACTAGCACTCCTCCTCTCTGTATATCTGACTTTCCAATAAAAAATAAATATTCAATTTTTAAAAAGAAAAGTAGATTACAGAGAAAAGGAGAGTCAGAGAGAGGTGTTCCATCCGCTACCTCACTCTTTAAGTGGCCATAATGGCCGCTGCTGAGTCAATCTGAAGCCAGGAGCTTCTTCTGGGTCTCCCTTGAGGGTGCAGTGTCCCAAGGCTTTGGGTCATCCTTTGTTGCTTTCCCAGGCCGTAAGCAGAGAGCTGGATGGGAAGTGGAGCCAGGACACAGGCCTGACCCCATATGAGATGCTGGTGCCACAGATCCAAGCTCCTGGACCAGGAATAAAAACCCAGGTGCTTTCCAATGTGGAATATGCACATCTCAACTCTGAGGCCAAGTGCCTGCTCCCGCTTTGCCCATTTTTAATTGAGTTTTTCATCCTTTTGTGAGTGACTTGTAAGTAGTCTTGGAACTGGAGTTTTATTTGATTTGTGATTTGCAAATGTTTTCTTGAATGATGTAGCTGTCTTATTTTTATTGCTGATATCCTTAGTGCACAAGTATTTGCAATTTTGATGAAGCCCAACCTATCTGTTTCGCCTTTTGTGGTTCAAGTTTTGGTACCCTAAGACCCCGTTGCAAAATCCAAGGCCATGACAGTTTTTCCCTTTGTTTTCTGTTTTTTTTTTTTTTTTCCTAATGCATTTAGATGATTGGTCCATTTTAACTGATTTTTTAAAAATATGCATTCATTTTTATTGTAAAGGCAGATTTACAGAGAGAAGGAGATAAAGAGAGAAAGAATTTCTATTTGCTGGTTCACTTGGAGCTGAGCTGATTCAAAGCCAGAAGATCAGAGCTTCTTCTGGGTCTCCCACACAGGTGCAGGGTCCCAAGGCTTTGGGCCATCCTCGACTGTTTTCCCAGGCCATAAGCAGGGAGCTGGATGGGAAGTGGAGTAGCCGGGACATGAACTGGTACCCATGAGGGATTCCGGTGCATGTAAGGCGAGGTCTTTAGCCATTGGGCTACCGTGTGGGGTCCCCAAGCAGCATCTTAACCCTGGGTGTCAAATGCCTGCCTCCTATGAAGACATGGATTCTCGGTCATACTCCCGTACTGGAGATGAGGAATTGGCACAGATGCAAAGCTGAGTTACCATGAGCACATCTATTTTGAGGAAATGCCCCCAGACATTATCTCATTCAAATGTGTCGTTTTTAATTGGGGAAACTGAGGTCCAGAAAGAGGACATCACAGACCCATCTCGGTGTGGGAAGAGAGGCGGAAGCAAGATGAAGCTTGACTGGGAACTCTGCTAACGGTCTGTGTTTGCCGCGCAGCTGGCAACGTTCTGCTGGCTCTTCCACGCGTGCAGATGGTGTTTGTAGAATGCTCATGCCGTGTTTGCTGGTGGAGTCCAAGCCTGTTTACAGAACCGTCCTTCCTGAACCAAATAAAAAGAACCAAAATATCTTATTATGCAGGGCTGTTTTTCGCCAAAAATATTCTCTTATTCTGTATGGGGATATTCTGAACTGAGTCGTTTATTTTCAGGCTTGGCCCATTTTCCATTTATGGTCCTGACAAGTACATTAACATTTGCTGAGCCTATAATAATATTTACTGGCAGGCCTTCATTGTGAGCTTAACCCGTGGCAGCTATTTTTTTTTCTTTCACATTTTTATTCATATTTTTTCAATGTGTATTTATTTATTTTTATACACTTAAGAGGCAGAGAGCAACAGAGAGAGAGAGAAAGAAAGAAAAAAGAGAAAGATGAATCTTCCATCTGCTGGTTTATTCCCCAAGTGCCTACAACAGCCAGAGCTGGGACAGGCCAAAGCCAGGAGTGAGTCAGGGGCCCAAGTACTCAAACCACTGCCTCCCAGGATACATTAGCAGGGAGTTGGATTGAAAGTGGGTAGCTGGGACCCAACTGGCCCTGTGATGTGGGGATGAGGGATGGATGAGGGCATCCCAAGTGGCTGCGTGTCCTGCTGTGCCAGACGACCCATCCAGACACCTTAAGGCTGTGCAGGCAAGTCTTGCTTATGAAAGAATCTTTTTCTTTAACCTCCTTAAAAAAATTTTTTTTTAATTGAGCCTGGTGTGATAGCCTAGTAGCTAAATCCTCACCTTTTATCCGCTAGGATCCCATATGGGCACTGGTTCATATCCTGGCAGCCCCAATTTCCAGCTCCCTGTTTGTGGTCTGGGAAGGCAGTAGAGGACAGCCCAAAGCCTTGGGACCCTGCACCCGGGGGGGAGACCCAGAGGAGGCTCCTGGCTTCAGATCAGCTCAGCTCTGGCCGTTGTAGACACCTGGGGAGTGAACAAGTGGATGGAAGATCTTTCTCTCTGTATCTCCTCTGTGTATCTGCCATTCCATTGAGATAAATAAATCTTTACTATATATCTATGTATCAAAATAAAAAACAGAGAGAGAGAGAGAGAGAGAGAGAGAGAGAGAGTGCTCCTGGGCTAGGGCTGAGGCTTAAGCCAGGAGCTGGGTTGGGACCTGATTCCAGATTTTCCACCTTGGTGTTGGAGACCCAACTACTTAATCCAGCATCTCCTGCCTCCCAGGTGTGCATTAGCAAGAAGCTGTAATGTGGAGTGGAGGGTGTAGGGGTGGGGTTGGGGTGTAGGGGCGGGGCTGGGGGGGACGGTTCTTAACAGGCCAGCTGTCCACCCTCAAAGACACTCTTCTTGCTCAGAGAAAAGGAAGAGAAGTACAGCTTTATGACTTGGAGTGAGTCACCGAATCCTTCTGAGCCTCACTTTCCTCATCTGTGAAATGGGAATCATAAAACATAGTTGCAGTGTTTGTGTCAGCTCAGAAACAATCCGTGGCTTTTAAATATTTTCATGCACAAATATTTTTGAGAATCTACTGTGTGCCAGGTTTCATGCTAGGTTTTGGGCAAGACAGAGCAACAAGGCACTATAAAAAGAAGGAGAAGGGGAATCGTATGTGTGTGCTGGAAAATAAAGCAGACGGGCGGCCCTTTGAAATACAGTACTGAGTGGCCGCAAATTGGAAGAGTCCACTGATGTGCCGTGCCTGGCACAGACAAATCCATGCAGACAGAACTCCCACTAGTGGGAATGGATTTAGTAGCATAGAGTTAGGCCACCCCTTGAGACGCCCGCATCCCATGTCCGAGCGCCTGGGACGGAGTTCCTGCTCTGCTTCTGATCCAGCTCCTGCTAGCACCGACCCTGGGGGCAGCAGGTGCTGAGCCAAGTACTTGGCTTCCTGCAAGAGCATGGAGACCTGGATTGGATTCCTGGATGCTGGATTAGCCCTGACCCGGCTTTGGCTGTTGGAAGCATTTGAGGAATGAATCTGGGGATGGAAGATTTCTTTCACTCCCTGCATCTCTTTCTCTCTTTCCTTTTTAAAAATAAAAATTAAAAACTAAAGGATAACAATTATTAGATTTAACACCCAGGGATGCAATAATCAGGCTCATGTCATGAAGAGATTTGTTTAACTCACAAGGCTTTTTGTTTTTCCCCAAAGGAGAAGTATTTTTCATCTGTCGATCCATTCCCTAATTGCCCACCACAGCTAGGGCTGGGGGTCGTGCTGAAACCTGGAGCCTGGCACTTTACTCAAATCGCCTGCAGGAGCGGCAGGAACGTTAGCCACTGCATGCAGCTTTTCTGAGTGGACAATAGCAGGAAGCTGGGATTGGAAAGGAAGCTGGGACTTGATCCCAGGCCACCTGAAGCGGGGTGCAGGTCCCGATTACCCTCCCCCAACCACAGCGTGCACCCTGGCTCACAGCTTTGCAGGCTGGTCGTCCCAATAGCACAGCACTAGCTCTAGTGAGCATCCTTAGTGGATGGTGGCAGCAAGGCAGGAAGCATCTCCAGAGGGATGCAGGTGCAGGGTTCAGGCTGAGGCTTCTGGAACAACCGCCTCTGGGGAGAACTTCCAGGATTCCTTTCACAAGGACCTTCCACGAGGCTTGGCTTTTAAAGGGTCTGCCAACTGCCACTGCTGGCACCCTGGAGACCAAGCTGCAACCCAGGGTCCTCTGGGGGACCAGCATCAAAGCATAGCTGATGTCAAGCCACAAGACGTTAGCAGAGGAAGTAGAGGCTCTGTGGAGCCGGCTGGCGGGCCTGGTGGTCTGGGGGTGGGGGTTGGAGGCGGCTTGGGCCCAAGGTAGTAGGGAGGTGGCGAAAGGCGCTGACTTCTGGACCAACCTGGCGGGAAGGTGGGTCTACAGGACGTGCCAGTGGATGGGTGAGGGTATGAGGGGCAGAGGAGCTGGTTGGGGTATTTGTGACTGACCTCTTCCCAAGTCCACAGCTTACTTGGTTTCCTTAGATGTTTACCTGCAAGTCTGCAGGTCTCTGATCTGTTCCACTTCTTTTTCCAGGACCAGCAGAGAACAAATGCCAGGAACTGGTGTGCAAATGTGACCAGGAGATTGCCAACTGTCTTGCCCAAAATGAGTACAACTTAAAGTACCTCTTCTACCCTCAGTTTTTATGTGAGGAGGACTCGCCCAAGTGTGACTGACTAACCAGACTTGAAGCGTTCATTTGCACAAGGAAATAAAGGGCCTTTTCACTCATGAACAACAGCGTGCAGTTCTTTATTGGAGCCTGAGTCTGAGAGATAAAGCTATGGCCTTTCTGTTTGCTTTCTCTCCTCATCCTGGAACATGGGGCAGGGCTGGAGTGATTGGTGGAAGTCAAAACTGCTGTGCCTATCTTAACAAAACCACGACCATTTCTAACAACTGCGTTGGGGTTGGTACCGTTTTTCAGGCTTGGTCTTTATGAGAAGGTGGGTCTTGTCTCCTACTTCTGATGACCAGTGGTCAAATATGGATAAGAATCTACCAGGTGGGCCTAGTGGCTAAATCCTCGCCTTTTATCCACTGGGATCCCATATGGACGCTGGTTCATGTACCAGCTGCTCCACTTCCTATTCAGCTCCCTGCTTGTGACCTGGGAAAGCAGTAGAGGATGGCCCGAAGTCTTGGGACCCTGCACCTGTGTGGGAGACCCAGAAGAAGCTCCTGACTCCTGGCTTTGGATCAGCTCAGCTCTAGCCGTTGTGGTCACTTGGGGAGTAAACCAGCAGATGGAAGATCTGTGTCTCTCCTTCTCTCTGTACATCTGCCTTTCCAATAAAAACAAATAAATCTTACACCATGCCCACCCATGTGAAATTGTGGCCAATCATCGCCCCTGGGTCTCTGACTGCTATCTGGTGGACGTGGCTGTTTACCTGCCCATGACCTGAACAGAAGGTCAAGGGAAACGGACATGCCTTCTGGCCAATTACAGTGTCATGGTAGGGTGGGAGCCCTGTCAGAAGAACAGGGCTTCTTCTTGTGGCTGAAGAACACCATCGCCTCACCCCCCAGTGGCCTTGGGGCCTGCTGGTCAGGAAACCCCCAGAAAAATGAAGTTCAAGTCTAGTCGTGGTTAGCGAAGAAAGCCCTCCACACCTTGCCTGGATTTTAGGCCGCAGAGGTGCAAGCTAAGCTGATGGGAGATGCCTTCCCTCTCACTGCTTTTCTATACAGAAATACAGAACAAAATGAAGCAGGAAAAAAGAAATCACTCTGAATTCCTGGAATCTGAAATATTCAATGCTAGCATCTGAATTTTTTCCAGTTTAATGAAAGGGTCATAGCGATCATACCAAATGGTTTTCAAACACTTTTCTCAGTGTCACAAAAAAAAAAGCATATTAAAAAATCATTCTGAAAGAGCTTCATCATGCACTGTGAACACTGCTAACCTGAGGAAATGGATGGCCCTCCTTGCGTTTAGCAATGGCTTCAGTGAACACCCTAACAAGCCAATCTTGGCTGTCCCCTTTGTACTCCTAAACTTTCTCCTATGTCTTGGCTCAGGTTTTCAGAAATGCTGCTTTTGGATCAGAGGATCTGAATACATGAGGCACCCTCTGGATGCATGGCACCCAAGCGTGCTGAGATGGGCGGAGAAAGGCTGTGCAGGTGAGAAGTCCCTTAGCTCTCAGTGTGCTCACCTTGCCTGCTGCCGAGCAAGAGCCAGGGCCCTGCTTGTTTGCCAAGCCTCCCTACAGCACACGTGGGTTGTTACTCACTGTGGAAGCAGGATGTGGAAGCAGGCGGGGCCAGTCCATTGGGCCTGGCATGGGGGAGGGGACACACGAGTTTCAGAGTCTGACTGTCCTGCAGGGTGGCCTGGGGCCCAGCTCCACAACCTTTGCCAGCCAGTTCTAGTTCTGTATCTGAAAAGAATACTGGTAGGCCACCGGGCGGGAGGGCCAGGATGCACAAACAGTGCAGGGTCCCCAGGCCCACAAGGATTACAGAGGGCAAGTCAGGTAGCACTGGGCCCTCCCACAGGGAACCTCTGGCCAGCTGCCTGTCTCAATACCGCAGCATGCCAGGGCACCAACGCCTAGCTCCTAAGCACACCTTGCTGGGCCATACAGACTTTTCCTTTACGTTTTCCATAAAAATTAGTTTGTATCTATGTGGAGGTTTTATCTGTATAAAAATCTTTATTTCTTAAATTTCAAGTCATTTTTTCAAACTTCCAGATGCAGAGTCTGAGTAAAATCTTCATAAACATGAGGGGTTAATGAATAGAGTCACAAAGAAAATTTTGGACACAGGCTTATCTCTGGGAGGCCAGTCTTCAGAGCAATCACATTTCACACTGGAAGGAACAGGCCATCAGTCAGCTCATTCCGTATCTACAATCGCTGCACCTGCTAAAATGACACGTGCTGCTTTTTACACACCAGGACACGACAGGAAGAATTATACATTATACAGTGTGAGGTCCACTTACAAAAACTCTTCCTTGAACAAAAGGGTGAGCCTGTAATTGATTTTTTACACATTCTTAAGCAAAACCACCAAGTTGGAAACAATGATTTTAGGCCACGGATGTGCAGCCTGGGCTGATGGGAGGTGCTCTCCGGGAACTGCCCAAGAGGGACCCAAACTTTCAGTGACCATACACAAGGGGAGACCAACTGCAAGCCTGACCACCACACTAGTCTCAAACTGGATGTTTCTGCAGGTTTTTATTCTGAAGCCTGGAGACTCTAAGACTCCATCACTGATTGCATTTTCAATTGTCTTTTTCACGTGTGTTGGTCTGTGCCTATGCCTGTTTTCCTAAAAAGGACTTACAGCACGGGCTCGGCCCCCACAAGCCTGAACTGGAGTGCCAGGAGTCTGTCAGTCACCAAGGTCGTGGCGAGGGGGATTGTCAGTGTGGGGTCCTCCTGACAGCACCTGCACCCCATTTTCCGAGGACCCCGGGGCCTGCCAGCCAATGAGGGCTGAGCTTCCTAAGCACCTGCAGTGAGGGACGTGGCCCATGGGAGGAGGCTGACACCCAAAGCAGCACCTTGCCTTCTGAGGACAGAGATGGCAGTTCTGTCGTCTTCCTCCTCCCCCGCCCCCAGCATCTGCTGGGCTAGCAGTGACCCCTGCTGCGTCCCGCAGGGCCCGGGCAGCGCTGGTCACAGCACTTGGGTTTCTAGCCGGCGGACCTCCTTGACCACGAGGTCAATGTTAATAATCGGGTTGAAGTACAGGGCCCAGTAGAACAGACAGTTGCACACAAACTGAGGGATGAGGGGCCAGAACATGGCCACAAAAAGTCCCTGAGTGGACACTTTCCAAAAATGGCTCCACATCCTCTGAGGGACCGTCCTGGAAAAAAGAAAAAACGACAATGGGTGGTTGTGAGTGCCGGTGGTGTTGCTAGCTGGGACCGCTCCCCAGTGCCTCACCGCCCAGACTCCCGGGCTGCCAGCTACTCGCCTCTGTCCCCAGTGCCTGGGACCTTTCTTCGCCAGACCCTCCCGACACCAACGCGGACACGGCCCAGAGGGGCCTCATGTGGCAAGGCTTCCCCTCCGAGTGCAGCCTTACCACTGTGACGGCTCTGTTATACTTTGTACGCAGTTCACGTGTGTTTGTGTGTGTAAACACACATATATGCATATACATTCATACATACAATACATACAAATTTACTTGAGAGGAAAGCTCTGGTCACTGATTCACTCCCCAGATGTAAACCCCAATGGGGGCTGGGCCTGGGGTCCAGGACTCTGTCACTACTTATGCCACCTCTTGCTGCCTACCAGGGCCAGGAGCTGTGGCCAGGCCTCCCAACTGTTAGGCCACATTGCTAGCCCTTAATGTGCTGTCTGAACATGCGTATTTTCTTGGCCAGGTCACAGGCCCTCCGAATGCAAGCTGTCTCTATCACTGGGGACAGCAGGGCTGTGGATACGCAGTGACTCAGCTCAGTGCAACACAAAGCAATGAGGTAGTCAGCTGCCAGGTTCTCAGAAGGTAGGTAGGGAAGTGGTGCAGGCACAGCACGGCTTGATCAAAGGCGAGTGTCACGGACGCATCACTCCTCTCTTTGGGAAACAGCCTCCGAGTTTTCCTTTTGGGAATCTGCCTCTCCCGCCTTTGCCACATAGTCTGATTGAGGCTGAGCCAGCCACAGTTACTGAAAAACAAGGAGAGCTGAATCCGATCCCCAGGGCTGTTGTGGGCACTGAAAGAGTGAAGGAGGGAGCCAGGGGGTGGAAGAGCTCTCTTTCTGCCTTTTCAAAACAAAAAAACAAACACACACCCAAAATCTCAGATTGAGATTTAAGAAAATTAAGCTCAAATCCTCATTAACAGCAGGGCCCAGCGTGGTAGCCTAGAGGCTAAAGTCCTCACCTTGCATGCACCAGGAACCCATATGGGCACGGATTCTAACCCTGGTGGCCCCATTTCCCATCCAGCTCCCTGCTTGTGGCCTGGAAAAGCAGTAGAGGACAGCCCAAAGCCTTGGGACCCTCTACCTGCATGGGAGACCGAAGAAGCTCCTGGATCTTGGCTTCGGATTGGCTCAGCTCCATTGCAATTACTAGGGGAGTGAACCAGTGGATGGAAAATCTTTCTCTCTCGCCTTCTCTCTATCAATCTGACTTTCCAAATAAAAAAATACATAAACCTTCAAAAAAAAAAAAAGGTAATAACAAATAGGTGTTAGAGTTGTGGCATAGCAAGTAAAGCTACCGCCTGCAACTGCAGCCTCTCATGTGGACACTGCTTTGAGTCCTGACTGCTTGACGTCTGGTCCATCTCCCTGCCAGTGGCCTGGGAAAAGCAGTGGGAGATGGACCAAATGTTTGGGTCCGTGCCAGCCACATGGGAGCCCTGATTGAGGCTCCGGCTTCCTGGCTCCAGGCTGACCCAGTGTTGGCCGCTGTGGCCATCTGGGGAGTGAACAAGTAGATGGAAGATTTTTCTCTCGGCCCCCACCTCTCTTGCCCCTGCAATTATCCAGTATATTATTACACGTAGACAGACACACAGGGAAGCACTGGAGCTGAAGCCCTGGCCCCGCACACAAGGCAGCAGCCCACATGCTCGAGCAGCCGCATCTGGGCCCCACACCCAAGTCTGAGTGTTGCAGGGAAGGGGTGTTTGGCTCTCCCAGGCGGAGTAGTGTGGCAAAGGGCAGCTTGGCTCCACTCACAATTTCTCTCCCAGGCCTCGTGCTCCACCCATCTTCTGCACGGGACCACACTTACTTCAGCTCACTTCGTGACCAGATCCTCCAAAAGGAAAACAGTTCCAGCACCGAGAGGAGCATGGCGTTGACGATGAGAAACCGTGACGTCCAGTAGTGCACCTCCAGCCAGTCCCAGGCAAACTCGGCGATCAGCTGGTACGGAAGGAAGGAGTATTTGACGAGGAATTCTCGCCACTGCTTCCACGTGGGGTCTCTCAGATCCTTGAAGAAGGAACACAGGGACATGGCAGTCATATATGCAGCACACCTAACTATCCCTGTGGGTTCTGTGTAACACACACGCAATCTAAAAGGAAACTTCCTTCCCTCTTCTCTAGCAAGAATTAATCTTAAATTTGACCCAAAGAGGGTGAACTAAGATGCTTGGTTCAGAACTGTGGAAGTTCAGGAATGATGGCACTGACGGACTGTGATGCTCAACCAATGTTTTACTCCATCATCGCCTCATGGGTCATCTAAACCATCACCCAAATCCAACAGCTTGGTTGTGGGAAAGTGACGACAGTTGCTGGGAGAACTAAAACCACATCCCAGGAAAGGAATTTTGGGGGGGGCAGAGAAGCTTTTCAATCAGAGCAGATAAAAAAGTCAGCCCAGGATTAGGGACTGTGGGATGATTACAAAGATGACTTTTTACAGTGTTCTCTGCTCCCACTGCGGTGAGTCAAGGTACAGGGGCAATTGGGCATTCAAAGGAACTGGCTGTACAAGAGTCACGAGCAGACCTAAAGCAATGTTCAAGTGGAAAGTCAGTTAGGTAGGAGCCTGACCCTGGTGCTTAAAGCAGGTGCTGGAAGATTCAGATAACTGATTCCATGTTTACACGTGTGTCCTACACCCAAGTCACTTTCTGACACAAACAGAGGAGAAGGACTGGCCTCAAGAGTAGCACAGCAAAGGACACTGCCTTCCTGTGACCAGCCAGACTCAGAGAAAGCATCTGCTGGGGACCCATCACAGTTCTCAAGCTCTGTGGGGTAAGCTGGGCAGGCATCCCCATGGGGAAGCTGTGCCATGGCTTAACAGTTCTGAGGCCAAGGGCACCCACACTGACCTTGCCCTGTGGCAGGGCCAACAGTCATCCTTGAGGGGACCTTGAAAGGGATGGACCTTCACACTGGAAGGCCCAGAAATCTGTCCCTCTGGGGCAGTTGGGACCTAAGCTGGCTTCCAACAAAAGCAAGGGCAGCCCCTCTGGAAGTATGAGAGAAGAAACAGAATGAGTTCCCAGCATGGGAAAGGCCCTGCTTCATTCGCTTTTGCAGGCGGCTCTGCCTGCAGGACTCGTGTGAAGTCTGGCTGCTGCTTGCTCCTCCTATCAGGCCACATCTGCATATCTGACTTCCTTCCACACCATGGGGCACTGGTGCCAGTCCACTCCAGGCCCTCTGCAGACCTACCAGGAACTTGGTGATGATGTCTTCGCCGGGGCCATCTTCTTGCAGGGGGCAGATGGTGTGGATGAAGGGGAGGAAGCTGTCTGTGTAGTCGAACAGGTACAGGTAGAGCAGACTGAGCCTGGGGGAGCTCTTGAGGGCGTAGAGCAGGAACAGGGACCTGCCCGGGTTCACGGCCTGCAGGGAACAGGGCAAGCACCGCTCACACCTAGCCCAGCCTCCCACTGTGCCCCTGACACTCTCATGCCCCTTGCCCTCGGTTGTTTTTGCATGGTGTGCACAATGAATGGCAAGAAGGAGCCTAGTAGTTCATACTTCAGGGAGTTCATGGAAAATGGAATTAAAAAGTAAATTTATTCTGGTGCAACAAAATGTAGCAGCCACTTAACTAGAAAGGGGATGGTTAGGAAGACTGCTTTAAGGGGACAGGGTGAAATTTCTGGAGGTAAATATGTTTATGCTCAAACTCCAGTGGTGTTTCCATGGTGTCTCCATGTCAAAGTTTAACAAAGGATGCATGTCAATTATACCTCAATAAAACCGTTAAAACATGCTCAACTGACATAATGCTATTAATGATTTACTACTAAATTATTTTCAGTATAATTTCAGTGTAAATTTTCAGATAAAATTTGAAAAGTACAGCATAAGTTTATTTGCATAAGCTATTTGTGTTTATTTTTCTTCACAATATCTTTTTTACTCATAAAATTGTGTGTATTAGATGTTCTGTAACTAATAAAAACAGAATATTCACTAAATAGGACAATGTCCACCTGCTACTGTCATGATGAAGATCAATTTCTCCTTACCCAGGAAGGCTGAAGACAGGCATCCCTTGTGCTCTGGATAATCCAGTGCACTCCTCGGTCTAACCCTTACACACGAGTGCGGGAAGTTCGTAACAAAAGTTACGAAGTTCATAGCACTTACAGAAATCCTGTGTGTGTCCCTCCCTTTTGCAGCACAGCACTGCCCCAGAGGAGGGAGGAGGAGGCAGAGGAGGAGGACTGAAGAGCAGCCACAGAGGCAAACGCTCTGAAAAAGGCCTTTCAAACACTGCGCCCATGGCTTGTGTACAATTCTGAACGCACAATTAGGAAAGCAGGCACGTGCTGCGGGGACCCGGAGCAGGAGGAACACCCTGGGACAGTGGGGGGCTTCGGGCACATCTGTGAGGTTTTCTTCCTTTAGCTAAGCAGGGGGCAGGCAGCTGACTGCAGTAAGATGGAGTTACCTTGTATTCCCAGAGGTTCTGGGGGGGCTTCACGCCCAGGGCTTTGACACGCTCCAGCTCCAGGAGGATGGCTCTTCGGTGGCTGCTGTTTTCTATGGTGTACGGCGCCCGGGAAAATTCCTCCTCTGTCAAGGTTAAAAGCAATCTGTGTGCAGAGCGAGGATGAGAGTGTGTGAGAACACGCAGCGAGGCCGACCTGAGGTGTGTCTTCCCGACGCACGTACCTTACAGGCTCGAGGCAAGGTGAGATGTTTCAGACAGGAAATACTATTAATAATAAAACATAACTCAGTGCTTATCATTTGCCAGTGATTGTTACAAATCACTGACCCATGTAGCAACTGTGCACATATTTTTCTACGCTTTAAATAGAGTAATATGTCAGAAATCAGAGTAAATAACAGATACCAACGGCCAGCAGATGGAAGACCTCTCTCCCCATTACTGTGCCTTTGAAACAAACAAATCAAACATCACTATATCTTGCCAAAAAAATAAAAAAAGAAAAGAATATGAGTTGTTTTGGCAAAGTGATTTAATTGAACAAAGACTATAGAATCCTTTTTTCCTTTTCTCATCAGAAAACATGAATGTCTCTCCACATTGATTCATCATTCAAAATACTCCTGGCAGAAGATGGGAGCCGGGTGACATTCACGCACTTTGCTCCCTCTGGCCCAGAAAGCTCAGGGCTACAGGCCAACCCCGAGACGGCGCAGAGCTCTGCAACAGTCCATTACCACAGCTAGGGAGAGAATTTTTATTTTAACTGTAATTTTGAAAGACGCAAATTCTCACAAAAAGTAAATTGTGAACTTCCTCGAAGGAGAGTACAGGAACTCAGTGGAGAGGGAGAGTGACTGGCAGGGAAGGGGGCACAGGCCAGCAGCCTGACCTCTCGGACAAATGAACAGAAGATAGCGGCCATTCCCTCCTCCCTGCATGGTGCTGTAACGCACTTACAGGTGTGTACACTCAGGCATACATGACAGGCTACTTAGGACATTAGTATCTTCAGTTTAAACACATTGATATCAGTATAAACACTAAAAAAAAAGTCTGGGAAGGCATCCAGCAAAAGTGCTCTGAGGATGGGCATTATAAGGGAGTTTCATTTCCAATATCACAGAGCTTGAGGTTACATTCTTAAATAATAAATACATGCTACGTTTATGACCAGGAAGGCACACACACAGAACGAGGCTGACACTGACAACGTTGCCTACTGTGCAGCAGCTACGGGAGACAGATCCTCAGGAAGCGGAGCAGTTACTATGTGACCCGGCCAACGCACCAGAGTGTTAACTTACGATCTCACAAAGACCTGTATGTGAATGAACCAGCATCATTTGTTACAGCCAAAAATAGAATCACCCAAATGTCCATCAGCTGATGAACAAAGAAAGTCTGGTCTGATCGCATGTACCCCGTGAAGGGAATGAGTGTGGGTACTTGCTGCATCACGGGGAAGCCTTGAAAACACTCCAGGACAAAGCCACACACAGAACAGGCCACGTACTGCATGATTCCATTCCTATGACATGTCCGAAACAGGACAGGCTGCAGGGTCAGACAGCAGCACGGTACCTATGTGTGCTTGGGGTGGGGGAGACGTGGAAGGGCAAGAGCTTTCTTTTCAGGGTGCTGGAAATGTTCAAAACTTATTCTGGTGATGGTGGCACACATCTGCAGATATTCCACAGGTGGCTGAGTCTATGCTTCGGATGGGTAGATTTTATTGGGTCTGAGTCATGCCTCAAAATGGCCTTGCTGTGTCAGAAGACCTAGCTCCTCACCTTCCATTGACTCTTTCCGACAGAAACCTGTCCCTGTAGAGAGAGGCCCAGGGGCCCAGCTGCTCCAGCCAGAGGATGACTTCTTCCGCTGTCCATTTGGCCACAGCCTTGTGGACCAGGAGGTCGTGCTCGGATTCCCTGCTGCTCCAGTGATACACAAGCAGGACCACCTGGGGAAGGGTGACAGGGACCCTGAGACGTAAGGAGGCCACAGGGAAGGGAGGAGGCTGAGCCGGAAGGAATGACGAGGCCAAGCCTGCACAGGGGCAGCGGGGTGATGCTACTGTCACAGAGAACCGGGAGCATGTCTCTCCTGGGCTCGTCTCTCTGCTGAATGACAGGCAGGGAGGGCACAGAGACCAGAACAGCAGGGGGCTCGGGGCACCTGGGGGTAGCTGCCTGCTTGAGCTTGGTGAACAAGACCGACTCTGGGCCTTGCCTATCGGCGTACATTTAATTTTTGCAGCCTAGAACTGATGAAGAAAAGAATCTTTACACTGGAGGTGGTATACGTAAAGTACACCATGCCATCTGTCTGCACTTCCTTCCTCAGCTTTGAAATGGGAATGACCCCCAACAGGACCTGCTGCCTCTCTAGGTTACAAAGAGGCTTAAATATGATCAAGCTGACAATGGCTGAGTGCCAACCATTCTGTGGTCGACTGGACTAAGCAACATTCCTGAAGAAATCATACAACCCCAGCAGATTCCGATGGATGTGGTGAATTACCCGCTGTCCGACATCCATTGTTTCCATGATTTCAACAGCATGGACCACAGTGGATGCCAGGGGTAGGGGAGCAGGGGGGCAGGGGCAGGAGGGCACAGATAAACGCAGGGATGGACTTACTGCCACACCAGTGAGAGCCGTGAGCACTCCGGAAAAGAAGCCCCCTCCTCTCTGCTGATGGCCACGGCCTGTGCTGGGAACTAAAGGAATCTGATCATTTCCATATTTCTGAAAGGCTCTGAGGCTTTGGGCTATGTCGGAATTCTGCTGAATGTCTTCTGATCTCATTCTAATGGCATCGGGAAATAACTTTTCAATAGCATCTCTGGGGAGAATAGAAAAAAAGAAAAGATATATCACAACACAGTTGTTTGTCTGACGTAACAATTTACAGGCCAAAATAAAAGTACCGGTCAACAATAATCTATGGGGACCTGGGACCAGGGACAAGAGCATCTCCAAAGCTCTGCTGACAAAGGCAAAAAATTAGCAACAATCTGCATTTCCACTGTTACGGAAACCACTAGATGAAATAGAGTCTGTCATGCAGTGGAGTACTGTGTGGTACATGTTGATTGCATTATTACATCAAGATGGATTAATTAAAGATAGATGAATGGCTCTGTGAAAACAGTACACTGCATGTGAACATTTTCAATCGGTGCAAGTAAATATAAAAGCACTATCACTCCAGGGAAAAAGAAGAAAATAATCTAAAATAAAGGAGGGGGGAGTCCCAGGAGGTAGGAGGTTCCATCAATATCTTCCAGTATCTAAAGAGAATATAAACAACAAATTCACATTTGCATTGCTTATGTCATTGCTAGGGTTCCTGTACCTGTTCCCTTAAACTCATATAAAAGTGCAGTCCCCAAGGTCTTACATTAATGGTACTAAGTGCATGAGAACCTAATCCAAGTGTGATGTTAAGAATGGGTTTCAGAGCTAATTGGACTGGATTAGGCCATCAGGATGGAAACCTTGGGAACTTTCTAAGTGGAGATCAGGCAGACACAAGTTCCTTGCCTCTTACCATGATGTGCTTCTGTGGGCCAAAAATAAACCTCTTTTCTTTATAAAAGAAGCTTGCCTCGGGCAAAGGCCAGTAGTAAGAAAAGAGTTGGCTGCTAGACTATACCGTAAGGCTCTTTACCTTTTCAATAATACACAGTCAGACAACTCTACGATCTTCCTATAATGCAAACCTGAGAAGAATGAAGCATAAATAAATAACATTTCTTGTGATTACCAGAATGTGGGGTTAAAGTTTTCATGGTACTTGCTGGTACTCAGTACATATCCAAGAAAGCTGAACACATGGCTAAGGCCTCTGAGCCCTCCTAGGTGCATGACGACAACAGGGAAGCAGGAAAGAGCAGGCCCTCTGAAAGCTCTTGCTATTAGCTGTGTGATGCTGTGACAAACTGTGCAAATGTGACACTGGAACAGAGTTCATGTAAAAATTACAAAAGCTAATTATGAAAATCAGCATGAAGCCAGGTACTACAGACTGTACAGTTCTATCATTTGCTCTAGCACACCCGGGCATTCTCAGTCAACACGGATCAATCAGAGGCATGTCATGACCACAGGGTTATCTGTAGGGGTCTCATAACCAGAATCTATTTTTACCTTCACTTACAGTTGGTAAAAAGCAAACGACAGCCACCTGTGAGACAGGGCACCTGTACTTTCAGACCCCCGAGCTCCCGCACTCACATTCCAGCAGATGCAGGTGACCCGCGAGGCCAGCTCTGAGCCTGCGGCCTCTCTGTACCTAGCAGCCCTTACCAGGACAGAGTGTACCATGAGCCACGCCTAGGGGCCGAGTGTTACCTCAGGAGGATGTTGACTTTGGGGAAGCCTTCCCATTTTTCTCTGCATTCCGGACACTCGGTTTTCTTTGAAGACACCCACCACAAGGCTAGGCAGTGGCGGCAGAAGCTGTGTCCACAGTTCAACGTGGTGGGGTTAACCAGGATGTCGTAACAGCAGTGACAAGAAAATTCACTAACAGAAATCTGGGGGCCGGTGCTTCGGAGAGGCTCGTCCTTCTCCAGGTCCCCAGGGGCCGGGTCATCTTGCTGAGACTCTTCCATCTCTTAGCAAAATTTGGAATCCACAGCAAGCAAACGTCAAAGAAACCACTGCAGGACATCAAGTCTAGGGGGAAAAAAATTGAAAAAAAGTTTAAATAAACAACAAGCTATTTGAGATTACTGTCATCCATGAAAGACCTAATTTTTAAAAAATAAAATTATTTATTTGTTATTATTTGAGAGGGAGAAGAAGCGAGAGAGAGAATATGCCTGTACAAGGCTGGGGCTGGGTCACGTCACACCTGGGAGCTGCAAGGCGATCCACATCTTCCTATCCAGTGGCAGGTTCTTAACTATTCAAGCCACTGCCTGCTGCCTTTTAGGGTGCACACTGGCCAGAGGTGTGCACCGGAACAGAGGGCCAAAGCAGGACTTAACTACAGATGCTCTGATGGGGCAAGCAGCTGTCCCAACTGACGCATCAGTCACTAACCCTAACACTCACAGCCCAAATGCTCTGACCTTCTAGGGTCAAAATCCTGACTTATTAGAATCCACATTCCATCAATAAGACAATCATCACTAAATTTCTTTCTCACCCATTTGTCACATTTTCAACATTACATGACATTAAGTCGTGCAGTGGGAAGATCAAGAGGGCAGGCTTGATAGAGAAGTTCACCTCTTTATTAACTTCCTTTCAGGTTATAACTGCTCTTGGCCACAGCAGTCCTGATTCCATGCCCAAAATTCTTTCCAGGTGTGGGACTTTCAGTCAGTCTACCATTTGAGAGACAGCAAGAAATCATTCGCTGGCTCACTGTCTGAATGCAACAGACCAGGGACTCGATCAAGATCTGCTGTATGGGTGAGCCAGCACCATGGTCTGCAAGGGTCTGTGTTAGCCCTGTTTCCTCAGCAAAATGGTGGCAGCAGCTCAGACACCTTTAAGGCTTCTTGTGAGGGTTAGCATCATGGAAGCCAAGTGGCTAGGCTGGTGTGGGGTAGAAACAGGGTTGTGCTTCACACTATTTCTGATGCAGGTACAACAGAAATGGTAAGCTTTTCTCAAACTCACTACTGCGAGAAAGACAGTTGCTGTCCATCACCCACACTGGCAAGAGAAGGGCACCGGCTTCATCACTGGAGACCCAACAGTTAAAGACACAGATCCCACGATGGACCGTCTGGGGTCTTCTCTGACCTCTGTCAGGAGTCTCTGCTTCCTCAGAGGAAGGGGGATGGCTGGGCATGGATTCCTGTCTTTGATGCAGCAAGGAATTCACAGACAAGACACAAAAGGCACAGCTGAAAAATAGGTTGTTTGCTAAACAAAATTAATACACTAAAGAGGGAGTATAAAGATGACAGAGATTGAGTGGGGTCCAGGTCATCTCCTTCTGTGTTTCGGAGGCACAGTGGTGTCTGGGGTGTAGTTTAATCAACTAGTCACAGGGAGTGGTATTCAGGGTGGCCTGTTAAGTACTACCCATTTTCTTGCTGGTTTGGGAAGTATCATGGCATGAATTGCATGATGGGAGGAGGAGTGTCAGTCATGCAATTTTAGTGTAATGGTATTGTAACAGGCAATGTAGAGGTCATCATAGGGATGCAGCCAACAGCCACACTGGTTACTGGCAGCCAGCAACAGTTGTATACACAGCTCTGTGGAACGAGCAGTTTTCTGCAGTAGAAAGGAAGGGGCCAGGGCCCAGCGTGGTAGCCTAGAGGCTAAAGTCCTCACCTTGAACGTTCCGGGATCCCATATGGGCACCAGTTCATATCCCAGCTGCTCCAATTCCCATCCAGCTCCCTGCTTGTGACCTGGGAAAGTAGTAGAGGACGGCCCAAAGCCCTGGGACCCTGCACCTGTGTGGGAGACCCAGAAGAAGCTCCTGGCTTCAGATCAGCTCAGCTCCTGCTACTGCGGCCACCTGGAGAGTGAACCAGCAGGCCAAAGATCTTTCTCTCTGTATCTCCTTCTCTCTGTAAAATCTGCCTTTCCAATTAAAAAAAAACGCACAATTTAAAAACAAAAACCAAGGATAGGGCTGGTGAAGCAGACATAGCTTTAGGGAGGGGTGTCTCTGACTGAATCAGATTCTTGCACTATTTATCCACTGGGAAGCTTACAGAATTAAACAAGGGAATGCATTCCGGTGTACCTAGCACAGAACCTGTGTATGGTGAACAATGCCATAAAAATAGAACAATTTACCAAATTCTTAAAGTGCAGGGAAAGGGCACACACTCTTACATATAGCATGCTAAAACTGCATTTTAAGTAAATTAATTAATAAACAGTGATTAAAAGTATCAGTAGTTGATGGAGGAGAATCATGAGTAATTTTTGTTTTGGTTTGGTTTGACTTTCTAGATTCCATCAATTCCTTTGTAAGGAATACATGTCAGTCCTATTACAACTACAAAAATACACATGAATTTGTAAAATACTGCATCAGTGTGAGAGTTTTAACTCAGGGAAATCAACACAGACAAATCTGGAAAATAACTGTTAGTCCATAAAGTTATTTACTGTAAAGAAAGCAACATTTTGTGCAAACTCTTTATGAAGAAGCCTCAATGAACATTCTTGGCAAATTCCAGGTTACTTATGATAATAAAAGATATTTGCTCATTTTGACACTGTTATTCATGTATTCCGCTAAAACTGGTGAACCCTGCACCACGCAGACAGCATTATCCTAGGCAAGCCCAAGCACTGTTGTTTGCTGAGCATCTTGTATGTGCTGGGTACTGAGCTGGGTCCTTTCAGTACCCTCACAGCCATATCCAGACTTGGAGTTGGAAGCAGGGAACAATTAGGGACAAGTTAGGCAGGAAGCATCACTCCTTGAAGACAACAGGAAAATGCAGGGGAAAAAAAGGGGTGAGAAGGATCTAAGGGTTTGGGGGGAAATGTATGGGCCAATGACCAAAGACACTGCCCAAGTTTCAGAACTAAGGCAGAAATTACACTTCAGAAAAGAACTGGGTCACTGCTAACAAATAGGGGCAGGTGCTGGAGGAAGCTTGGAAATGGAATTTAAGAAGACTGGAGCTTGGGGCCCGGCGCGGTGGCGCAAGTGGTTAAAGGTCCTCGCCTTGCACGCCCGGGATCCCATATGGGCGCCGGTTCTAATCCCGGCAGCCCCGCTTCCCTTCCAGCTCCCTGCCTGTGGCCTGGGAAAGCAGTCGAGGACAGCCCAAAGCTTTGGGACCCTGCACCCGCGTGGGAGACCCGGAAGAGGCTCCTGGCTTCGGATCGGCATAGTATCGGCCCGTTGCGGCTCACTTGGGGAGTGAATCATCGGATGGAAGATCTTCCTCTCTGTCTCTCCTCTCTGTATATCCACCTTTCCAATGAAAAAAAAATAAATAAATAAATCTTTAAAAAAAAAAAAAAAAAAAGAAGACTGGAGCTTGAAATGATCCGACAAGACTCCCAAATAGATACAGTGAGTAGCTGGAGATACAAAACTGTACTAAGAATGAAACAAGGTAATGGCATTGTGGCTTAATGGGTAAAGCCACTATCGTGGACGCCAGCCTCCAGGGTGGTGCCAGTTTGTGTCCCAGCTGCTCCACTTCCAATCCAGCTCCCTGTTAACGCACCTGGAAAGGTGGGCAGAGAGGACCCAGGTATTTGAGTTGCTGCGTTATGCAGGAGACTCCCAGAAGGAGACCCAGGCTCTTGGCCCTGACCCTGGCTGCTGCAATGGGTTAGGGGGTCTCCTGTCTCTTCCTCTCTCTGTCTTTCAAATAAAACAACAGTAGCTAAGAAGAGGCTGAGTGTGTGGGTCTTAAGAGTCCTTGGAGAGGAATTACAGATAATAGACCTGGAAATGAACTTCTCACAAATGAGCCTTTCAAAAACTAGAATGCACAGCACTTCCTTGCTTAGTAGATCTGAAAGTTTATATCATTTTTTTAATGAGAAAACAAATCATGCATTTGAGGTGAGTACTTTAAAGGGGATATTGGTCAATCTAGGATGGCTGTTGAGGCTGCTTTGGGACCACTGCTGATGAGAAGCTCTGTCTACGCTCACATTTAGGATGTAGTGTTGGCTCATTTTACCCTAAATTCAAAAGGTGACACACATCACTGTGAGACATGCACACTCTCAGCCAAGGGTAGCTCATCTTTCCTGTCACCTTTGTTCCTCTGGATTCAGGTTATTCCTGCTGATGAAAGCAGCAGTTCTTTTCAAGGAGTGCCTTGTAAGTGACCCAGTCTGGCTCCACCGCTGGAGTGTGACACCGTGGTGTCCTGTCTTGGGGACACACACCCTCCCACTGTGACACTGATCAAAGGGCTCTTTGAGGGGGAAGGCCCCAGCTCGTGAGGACATTTCCAGCTGGTTCCTGCAAGCGTGGCAGCGGGCTGGAGCCGCTGGAAAGCACATTCCTTCACAAGGCAGCATGTGTTAGAGCCTCCGCGCTCTCGGCAGCCCCGTGTCACTTGTTTTTGCCTTTTCAGAAGCCTGCGGTGGACCTGGGGTTGGCAAGAGGTGAATCATTCCATTCAGCCGCACTATACAACCGTTCACATGGATACACTTCTGTTTCTGAAATACAAGTGTTTGCTGCCTAGTTCAGTCTGGCAGAAAGAATGCCTGCATTGGGACGAGTCTGTAAAGCAGCAAGTCCAAAAACGCTTATGAGTCCAACACCAGATGTGACACCACAGACCTGGAGAGCGCTCCAGCAGCCAACACCCCAGAAGGGCCCAGTCATCCTGAAGTGGTGCTTCTAAGCAAAAAGCAGCAGCCCTGGAATGAGCATTTAGTGCTGGTTCAAGAGCCTGCCTGGACACCAGCATCCCATATCCACGTGCCTGGGTTTGAGCTCCAGCTCTGCTTCCGTTTGCAGCTTCCTGTGAGTGAGCATCCCAGGAGGCTACAGGGTCCTTGGGTCCCTGCCACCCATGTGGGAGATCCAGATGGAATTCCAGGCTCCTACCCTTGACCTGGCCCAGATGCGGGTGTTGCAATCATTTGGAGAGGAAACTGGCAGGTGGAAGATCTCTTTTGCTATCTGCCTTTCAAGTAAATTAAAACATAACAAAACACACCTAGGAGCGGGGGCTGCTAACCCAGCAGTTAATGTTCATGTCCATAGCTGGGATGCCTACTGACTCTGCCAGCTTCCTGCTACTTCACTCCCTGGGGGGACAGCAGTGACAGCTCAGGTGGTTGGGTTTCTGCCACTCCTGTGGGAGACCTGGATTGACTATGCCTAGTTTCAATCCCAACCTCTGCCCCTCTTGTGGGCATCTGAGGAGTGAACGAGCAGATAGAGACAAAAAACAACCACCCCCGCCATCCTTATTTCCTAAGAAACATATCGTCTCTGAAATAATTTCAGTGTCTAGAAACACAACAAACCTTACAAAGCACTAAAACACACACACTGATTTTTGCCATATTGTGTTCGCAAGTCTGTTCTGTGGGCACAACTAAGAGAAAACAATTCTCATGGGGTGTACATTATGACACAGCAGGGTTAGCTGCTGCTTGGAACAGCTGCAGTTGTGTAAGAGTGCTGGTTCGAGTCCCAGTGACTCCACTTTTAGTATTGCTTGGGAAGCAGCACATGGATGGTGGCCCTGGTGCCTGGACTCTGCCACCCACATGGGAGACCTGGGTGGAGGTCCAGGCTCCTGGTGTCAGCCCAGTTCTGTCCCTAGCTATTGCAGGTATTTGAGGAATAGACCAGTGAACCGAAGATTGCCCTTTGTCTTTCAGATCAATGAAAATGAGTAAACATTTAAAAACAAAGTTTCTTATAACCTTTGATGATTTGGCAATTCCAAGATACTCATTAACATGAACTTTTCTATGTTTTCATGAAAACACACCTAACTGGCAGTTTATAAAACATTTCTGAAAGAAATGGGGCTGGGCCACCTACAATCTCCCAGTAATACTAAGGAAAATAACTACAGAATTCAGAAAGAAGGTGGATATGTCTCCCTTGAACAGACCTGTGTGACTTGTCTAGTGCTTCATTATAGATTTTTCTGGAAGGCCATGACTGACTGCTATTACCTGTTTATTTCTTTATTCTCCCAACTAACATTACAGAAAGTCAAGTAACACACAGCCGATGAAATGATGAATTCATTCTACATTAAGAGGTTTTTACACTTCAGCTAACAAAGATCTCATTCTGTAATGACTGTTAACACTGTAGAAATCACAGTCTTTAAGCTGCTTGCTTCAGTTCATATTCATGAGTCCACATTTTCATTCGACATGCATTTACTGTAACTATAGTGCAATTTTAGAAATTATTCTTTTACAACATTTAATTTATTGGGCACCTAGCCTGGAAAACAGGATCTTAATAGATGCTCAATTCCAGGGCTGGACCAGGAGCTTCTTCTAGATCTCCCATGTAGGCTTTGTTGAGGTCCAATACTTGGATTACCCTCTGATACTTTCCTAGGCCATTAGCTGGGAACTGGATGGGAAGTAGAGCAGCCAAGATTGAATCAGCTCCCATAAAGGGATGATGGTGCTGCTTGTGGCAGCTTAACCTGCTAGCCATGCACTGGCTCCGAATGCCAAGTTTTAAATCATGGTCTGACTTTGAAGTCTGTCCTTGAAGGAGAACATTATCCTAGCAATGTAACTGCCAACATGACTTGCTCAAATGACTGATTTAATCTGCCATCATCTAGGCCACAGCATAGAGCTGCTACCAACCAGCTGATAAAAAATCAATTAGAGAGACCAACTAGAATTTGACCACATTGCATTCTGGAACCTGAACTCTAGCTGGTAGTCCGTCACGTGGCCATGCCGATCTGAGCAGAACCATTGACAACAGAAACAAGAATGGCTCAGGAAATACCAATGTCCAGGTCCTGTTTTTTGAGGATATCCCTATAAACGCTGGCAGAACACTAGACATTATTGAAGCGTGAAAGGGCTCATTTACATCTCTGTGAAACTAATGCTCTCAGAGGTAAATGAGGCAAAGGTCAGTGAAGGCCATGAAAAACACAGTGCTCTGTGCACCTGCTGGAGTTGGTAAAAACCGGCACGTGCATGAATACAAAGGAATCCTATCCAGTCTCTTCCTGTATTGTATCATACGGGGCTGGCAGCTGTGAGGTTAAAGGTGGCTTGTTCCTTTGGATGCTGACCTGCGGCCTGCACTTTGAAGCCCTCTGATTTACTGCCATTCAACGCCGTTGGGCAAGACGGGGCCGACTGAGAATATCCTGTTTTTTGTTTCGGTTTGGGTGTTTTTGAGCCCATCCTCTTTTATGTCTGTTAGGTGGCGTATAGGCAAGGACTTACCCTGTATAAAACCCCTCAATGGTTATGACTCAGAAAGCTGTCAAGAACCACTGAGGGCCACCGAGGAACCCACGCTCTAAGATACTGTTTTAATTCACATGAGTGACCATGCCCTTTTCTCATAGTCTCCTAGCATCCAACCTGAGTGTAAGCTTGTGACAGTGGTACACAAAAACCAGCCCGTGATTATCTGACCCCCTGGCAACAGCAGTTCCTAACAACCCTGTGAGAATTCCCAAGGCAGACTGGTGAGCCTGGACTGGCACACATGGCGAGGAGGCCCAGGAATGTGTATTTTTAACAGGGCCTTGAGGCAATTCTTATGATGTGCACAGAATGTCAGGAGCCAAAGAACTGTCATAACCATACCTAGATATGACTCCGACAAGGCACGTCTAAAGTCTGAGCAAAATAAGGTGCTAATAGCATTTTTGATCCTCTCTCGCTAACTCCATGGCCTGAACAATCCTCCCAGAGCAAAAGTGATCAAACCCCTCCTGTGCTCAAAACTTCTACAAGGAAAATAAGACAGAGAACCACAAGCCTGCCACAGAAGAACCTTTATGGTCAGCCAGCAAGCAATGTAACTTTTTAACTTGGAGCACGATTTCTGGAGGTGTAACAGCTGAGTTAAAATCCAAGTTTTATCAATTATTAGCAGCAAGAACTCAGGCCATGTTATTTAACCTTTCAAGGCCTCAATTGTCTCATTTGCAAAACAGGGTATTAACCACACCTGCCTGAAACGGTTGTTGAAAGAATTAATTGTGTTAATATGTACACAGCACTCAAAAGAGTGCTTGGGAACACGGTAAGTGCCGTGCAAGAGTCAACCGTTACAATTACTGTGATTGTTCTTTGCTCGCACATGGCACCGTTCCTTTCTGTGCCTTGGACACCTCCCTGTAGTCCCACACTGTTTCCTTCAACTGTAACACAGCTCCATACTGTCTCTGGGCCAAGAGCTTGCAACCACCAAGACGCAACAGGAGTCTGTAACAACTAGCCTCCTACGAGCATCTGTGTATTCACGTGACTTTTACTTGAGGATGTGTTCTCATCTCCTGGACCATAATTCCATTGTAAAGGCAGGTGGAGTTGAAATGCTGAGGTGGTAGGAGTGAGCTGGGCTCTAAGCCTGGATACCACTGTGTCCTCCCTGAGCCCGTGTACCAGTCTAGGGAAACAGAAGGGCTAAAGACCAGGTGACAAACTGCATCCCAAGACGCGCCAACAGAGTGTACCGTATGGCTGATGGGTATAATTAGTAGAATTATCAATAGTGGTGTTTACAGACTGCGCATACACAGTTACTGCCAACGCAAAACGCTGGAGCCATCCCCTGGAGAAGTATAGAAATTTCTTTATCATGTTTATGAAGATTGCCAGGGAAATCCTGAGGCACCCAGGATGACTCTTAGAGCAATGACAAGAACCAAAACCCAACCAGTGCTACCTCAGGGGTGTGTGCACCAGCCAGAAGCCATAGTTCCTTGTTACCCTGTGCATGATGTCAAAGCCACCCAAAGGACTGACCAATGGGCTCAGGCAGGGAGGACCCGAGGGTGACAATTAAGGTCAGGGTAGCTTCTGGGTTCTTACTTTCACTCAAGTTGGGGGCCTGGCCTCCTGTCCCTCCTAGATCCCCAGGTAGACACAACCTTAACACAACATGAGGAACTTTTTGCCCAAGTTCAGGTGTCAGAGTTGTGAGGCTGGGCAAAACTCAGTTCTAGCACAACCCTGGTATGACTCTGGAGTTTCGTTTCTCCGTTCTGTGCTTCTGTTACCCTACTTTCTAAGGTGCGAGCGGTCACCCCATATTGGGAAAAGGAATGTGCTTCGCCCGTTGGACCATAAGCCCAGCCTGGTGCCTGCAGGCACCCTGTTATGCCCTCTCCAAGCAGTAAGAAAGCCACATTTCTTCTCTCCCTGCCCTGGAGAGCCACTGGAGCTAGGGGTCCTGGCTTTGATCCAAATCCTCACAAGTAAGGCCCAATCACTCAATGCGTCAACTTAGGGTTTTAGGAAGTTGAGGTCCGGAGAGCTGGCCATGCAAGGGGTCTGCAAGGACAAGATCAAGGATGCTTAGGACCAAGACCTGGGCAGGGAAGGGCCCGCGCGCCTACTCCGGCCCCGCCAAAGGGATTCCGGCTCCACTCCATCTTCCACATCACTCCCCCAAGATTAAGCCCGGGCCGCCCGCTAGCCATCCCTTCCAAGCCGTGCCGCTTACCATCCCACGCTTCCTGGGGCCAACCCGGACATCGCCCCCAGCCCGGATTCCCGCAGAAGCGCAGGAGCTGGTAGATAGCAGGTACACTTCCGGAAGTAACCTAAGACCAACTGCAGAGCCGACGGTCCCCAAAGTCCGCGACCATAGAGGAGAAGCCGCACTGGTTTCTCAACCCCCACCACCCTGCGACCTCCCCGCTGCCTAGAGCGGCCACTCCCAGGTGGGGAGGGCTGGCGCATGCGTACCACCGCCGGCCCCGCCCCTTCCTCTTCAAGGACCCACCCCGGAGCCGGACCCAGGAATTAGACCCTGGCGGGTGTCCTTTTGATCCTGCTGGTCAGGGAAGTTATTTCTGTACCCAGAGAAAGCAGTTTTGTCCGGAAATTAAAATGACAAGGCTGTGTCGTTGTCTCTGCAGGATGTTTTCTTTTGTACGTTTTAGGCAGAAAACCATTTGCAGTGTTCAATTTTATGACCATATGCTTTTTTCCCTCTCACGTTTTTTCCCCTCCCTCAGCATCGTGGTCTGTGGGAAACTCATGCTGTTTACGTGTGTTTGTGTGTGTAACAGAGCGCGCGGAGCCAGGGACGGGAGGAAAGAATTCCAAGGAAGGATCTCTCTTGAGTGGCAGGTATCTAGTCACCTGGCCACCCCCACTGCTTGCCAGGGACGCTGGAGTGAGGAGCAGAGACTGTGCATGACCGAGGCACTCCCATAGAGGATGCGGGCGTGGGACATGCAAGTCCTAACCACGGGGTCCACCTGCCCTATGACTGAGATCTGTTTAAAACCATCTGTCTGGACCCATCACAATTGCTCAGCGGCTAAATCCCTGCCTTGTATTCAGAATCCCAGATGGGCGCCAGTTCTAGTCCCGACGGCTCCACTTCCCATCCAGCTCCCTGCTTGTGGCCTGGAAAAGCAGTGGAGGACGGCCCAAAGCCTTGGGATCCTGCACCTATGAGGGGGAACTCAGAGGAGGCTCCTGGTTCCTGCCTTTGGATCAGTTCAGCTCTGGCCATTGTGGCCACTTGGGAAATGAATCAGAGGATGGAAGATGTTTCTCTCTGTCTCTTCTTTCTGTAATTCTGCCTTTCTAATAAATACAAATAAATCTTCAATAAATAAATCACTGGTATGGAGCTAGCTAGATTGCTGATTGCAGTTGCCACTTCCCTACCACCTATCAAGCCGAAAGAGTAACAAGATTGATAGAACGCCATCACATCATAAAAAACATTTTTTATTGTGATAGAAAATACAAAGACTACAGTAACCATTTTCAAATATGCAGTGCTGTGGCATAAATTCATAGGATTTGCAAACATGGCTCGCTTCAGGTCTTTTTTCATCATCTTCTGGAACTGGAATTGTATCCCAGGAAGCACTTGTTGGTACCGCTCTGTCTGCTATTTTACCTCCCTGGTCCTCAAGACGTTCCTGGGAAATCGTGCTTGAGCAAAGTCAGGTACCTTCCAGAGTGAGCCGTGAGGAGTCAGTTAGGGTCTCTGGTCCCTGGTGAAGCTACTTTTTTAAAGTATAAAATTATGCTTCTCCCCATTTCTGACTCTTCCAAGAGCACGCTTGCCCCGTGCAGGAGAGCCCAAGGACAGAGGCAGTATGGCGATCCCCATCTCTTAGAGTTGTCCCAACAAAAGCAAGGAGACAGAACCAGCACTAATCTCACTGTCAAAAGGGATGGCTTTGGTTTTCAGCTTACCATTAGGATGGCAGGAGCCAGTCCCACCCTTCCGATGCCCTTCGATGCTGGACCAGGCGATGGACATTGCTTGCTCATTGCGAATGAGTTTTTCCGCCCCCTTTCTGCCCTTTGGGGGACTCATGTGAACCCCCTCCCTGAGGTGGTGATTTCTTTGGGTCTTTCCTGTTTGGAAGCCCCTCCTGTCTCTCCCTTGCTTGTCAAACTAGGGTTGTTTGCATGGAAATTCTTCTTTCCTGTGAGACAAGAAACAAGGTTGCAGCTGTATTTTGAATCCAATTCCCTGCAACAGAGCTTTTGGAAAACCTGGTCTTCTAACCTGCCTGGCAGGGCGGCTTTGGGGAAGGACCAAGATGAACTCCTTCACTACATCTGTACACTGATCTTCTACTATGTGTCAATCCTATCCTATCTTTGGGTCATCGCTAGCAAACGTCAACATAACATACAACTCCATCCAGGGCAAGAGTCAATCTGTTGCCCTCCCCACAGTGGTTTACAGCATGAGATAGATGACTCAGATTGGCTCTCCCTGGTCCCCTGTCACGCTGCATTATTTTTCCTTACAGCAGCTTCCTATTTTCTTCAGGATGACTCTCCCAAGTGTTTGCAAAAGGTAACTTCAATTCCTGACTTCTCAGGTTTTGCCCCAAGTTGAAGGTCTGGGAGGAGCGGAGTCCACGCTTTGCTGGCTATTCCCGTCTCCTCACCTCCTACCCGAATGGGTGGAACACGAAAGCAGCCTAGGAAATAGTTACTGACTCCTGCAGGGAAGGCGCATTAATCTCCACTTTCGGCCCCGCCTTGGGGACTCAGGGCCACGCCCCCGCCGGCCACGCCCCCGCCGTGACGCCGCGCGCTGACGCAGGCGCAGCCGGCGCGCGCTGTTTCCGGGAGTCGCTGCCGTAGTGTCCGCTGTTGCTGCCGCTGTGGCCGCTGGCCGCTTTCGCCGCGGAACTCTGCGAGTGGAACGGCTGAGGCGGGCCCTGGTTAGGCCGGGGTTCCGGCCGCTCGACAAGAATGGAGATAATCAGGAGCAGTGCGTGTGTGCCGTGCACTTCCCCGCGTCCCCACGCACCCCCTCTCCCAGCCCGCTAGGCCCGGACCACGGCCAGTCTGTTTGGCGGGGCCCCCGGGGCTCAGCCTGGAGGGGCTTCACCCCGTGCGCCTCGTGGGGGGCCGTGTCCTGGTGCGGATCGTGGCACCCCTAGGGGACCTTGTGCTCTTCCAGGCGGGCTCCCCCCTCCCCGTCCCCGACTCCCCGGCCTTGTCTCTTGTCGACCCATGCGCCCCTGAAGACTCGTTTCCTTCCTCTTCCTCATCCCTTCTGACTGAGGCAATCCTGGGGCAGTACCCATCCCGGCCTGGGCACGGCTTTGGGATCTGCCCCCTCTGGCCCTGGCGGCCTCTGGGGGTCCCTGTTAGGCGCCCGAAAACCAGGCGAGCCCCCTCTTAAGTTCTGAGTCTCTTCTCGGTCTCTCCGCAGATTTTAAGAGTAACCTTCACAAAGTGTACCAGGCCATAGAGGAGGCCGACTTCTTCGCCATCGATGGGGAGTTTTCAGGTACCCCCGCCTTGCAAGGCCGCCTCCGGCACCTTGCAGTGCTGGCCTCCCACCTCAGCACCTCCAGCTTCTGCCTGCGGGAGGCTCCTTACCTGTTGGGAACCTAGGGTGGATTGTAGGGGTGCAGTGGGTTTGTCATTGTCCTGTCTCTCAGGCTTTCTGACGGAAATGAAGGGTTTGATGATGCGTAAGACAGTTTTACTTGTACGTTACAGAAAGCTTTGAAGAATAGGGACAGGCTTTTTCAAGACAGACTTTAAAAAAAAAAAGATTGATTTGTTTGAAAGGCAGAGTTACAGAGCTGGAAGGAGACAGATTTCCCATCCAGTGGTTCTCTCCCCAAATGGCCAAAGCTGTTTGGGGCTGGGCAAGAGTTGCCCTGTGGGTCTCCCGTGTGCGTGCAGGGGCCCAGAGCGCTTGGGCCATCTTCTGCTGCTCAGAAGATGCATTAAAAGGGAGCTGGATTAGGTATGGAGCAGTCAGGACTTGAACCAGCGCCCGTAGGGGGTGCCGATGGCAGCTTAGCCCACAACAGCACAGCTCTGGCCCCAGAGACTTAATTTATAAATTGTTGATGTCAATAAGATCAACTCTTGCTCATTGGTATATGTTGCCTGATTTTACATGTTTAGAAAATGAGCTTTTTCTGAATAAGCCCATGCTGGAAGCAGTATGATGCCTCATCCCTGGAAAGCTAAGTTTTTAACCAAAGACTCTCTCAACCTTAAAAATGTCATAGTTGTACAATCGCGAGGCTGAGCTTTGACCCAGACTGGTCCCCAGCAGTCCCTGACTGGAGGGCTTGTGTCTGAGCCCTCCTGCAGGAGCAGTGCATTGTCTCGGGCGGGAAAGGTGTGTTCTTGGAAATGTCAGGGAGGGAAGGCTTGGAGATACTCTTTCATTAAGTAGAATGTTTATTATTCCAGAGTACAGATGATGCTATAAATGATCAACAGGTTTCAAACGGTCGATCTTGCTCATCTTGCTACGTTTTTGGCATTCTATATGTTACCACAGCAGAATTCCATTCTTTTTTACGATTTAGTAGTATTCTACCAGGTATATGTACTGCAGTTCCTTCATCTAGTCATGAGTTGGTGGACATCTGGGTTGATTTCCTAACCAAGTGTGAGTTGAACTGCTACCAAAAAAATTCATGAAAACGTGAAGCTATAATGGCATTACAAAGTGGGTTAGCACTTTTTTTACTCCACCCCCCCTTAGCACTTTAATATTAAAACTTGCCTAATGAAATAAAAACTTTTCTTTCTTAAAATCTAGGTATCAGCGATGGACCCTCAGTCACTGCATTAACAAATGGTTTTGACACTCCAGAAGAAAGATACCAGAAGCTTAAAAAGGCAGGTGGATGTGCTAGAAAGTCTTTTTCTCCCATGTTGACCCTCCATGAGGTATAGAGACATATAGTCATTAAATGTACACACCTAAGTTTTCTAACTATAACACTTCTCAATTCTAAATGTCTAAAACAACAGCAAAAATAATTGTTTGCTGGAAAACATTTTGGGAAAGGTTTAGTGTCTTTGATGTTAATCTGATTTGTAGGAAATACATGCTAATTTTACTCACTTGGAAATAGGCCTGCTGTGATGCTCTGGCTAATGGATAAGAGCTTCTTTGGGAAAAAATAAGAATGTATGATAAATTATTAGTGCCCATAGCACAATAACCCATCCTAATTGGAAGTACTCTGCCAAAGTCCAGTTGAGTGATTCAGAAAGCCCAGCTGATTGAGAATACTGTTACTCATGTTGAATGTGCAGCACTGTTGGTGACAGATATTTTATTTCCCTTTTCCAGCATTCCATGGACTTTTTGCTGTTTCAGTTTGGCCTTTGCACTTTTAAGTATGACCACACAGATTCAAAGTAGGTTGTTTTAACAAGTGGTGGGAATTCTTTCATCGTGGCATGGTGTAGCCTCTTAAAGTCTCCTTTTTATTTTATTTTCTCAGGTATATAACGAAGTCATTTAACTTCTATGTTTTCCCAAAACCCTTCAGTAGATCCTCACCAGATGTCAAATTTGTTTGTCAGGTTAGTGGTATTGAGCTTTTTCTTATATGACCTGGGCTGGTGAAGCAGTGTGGAAATATAGAATAAGAGTTCCCTTTGAAATTGGCTTCAGGCAGGAGTGTTTAGACCAGTGGTTATGTATGATGCTCTCACCCTGTATTGAAGTACCTGAGCTCAGTACCTGGCCCCAGCTCCCGACTCCAGCTTCCTGCTAATGTAGATGCTGGAAGGCTGTGCTGATGGCACAGGTAACTGGGTTCCTGCTACCTGTGTGGGAGACGTGAATTGAGTTCCTGACTCTGCCCAAGCATAACTGGCATTAGGAGAAAAGAACCAGCAAATCTGAGCTTGCTCTTCCTCTCCGTCTCTCCCCGACCCTCCTTTTGAAAGGCAAAGTGACGAGAGAGGGGGGAAATAGATCTTCCACCTGCAAGTTCATTCTGCAGATGGCTACAACTGCCAGTCCTGAGCCCAACTGAAGGCAAAAACCTGAACCCCATATTGGTATCTTATGTGGGTGGTAGGATGGTTTTCCACTGCCTTCCCAGCCAAATTAACAGGAAACTGGATCAGAAACAGGGCAGATGGAACTCAAGCTGGCACTCCTGCACAGGAGGCCCAGTGTGGACACAGCATTGCAAGCAAACAGTGGCTTAGCCCTTGTGCTACAAATGCTTGTGTGATTCAGTTAACTACCGAATTGAATTTTGGAGGCTGTCTGGTGGTTATAAACAGTGCTGTAGCCATTATTTCCATTCAGTGTGCCTTTTTGTACATGTAGAAATTTTTCTATAGGGCAGGGACTCTGATGTGGGCACCGCAGGGAGCACCCTGGCCAGGGTGCCAGATGCCCACCCCAAAACTAACTTGGTGATCTTGCCTCATTTGTATATCATCTGTGGTATTATTTTCTTAGTATTCTTATTTCTGTCTTCTCTTGTTTCAGCTCATTCTAGCTTTGAGATGTTTGTTTAATAATGCTTACTATTGAGTGATTTTCTCTTTTGACCTTGAATGTTGAGAATTTCTTGAAGATTCTGGATTTTCAATATCTACTTTAGAGTGAATGGTGACTGTGTGTGTGTGTGTGTGTGTGTGTGTGTGTGTGTGTGTGTAGGCAGGTAGGGAGGTAGGTATTTGAGAGAGAAAGAGGTAGACAGAACCTCCATCCACTGGTTCATTCCTAAATGCTTGCTGCCATTGGGGCTGACCAGGGCTGGAGCAGGAGCTGGGAACTCAGTTCAGGTCTTCCATGTGGGTGGCAGGGACCTATTCCATCAGTAGTTGGTTTGTGAGGCTTGCGTTGGCAGGAAGCCGGAACTGGGACTCGAACTCAGGCACTCTGATCTGGACATGTCAGCCAGCATCTTACCTGCTAGCCCTAGTGCCCATCGGCTAATGATGCCTTCACTACCTGCACACGTGACCTACTTTACATGTGAGTCTTAGGTGAAATCATGTAAATGCATTTTCTGTCTGTTCATAGTTTTCTAGTTGCGTCAACAACTCCCAAGATCTGGAGAAAATAATGTGAACCAAGGGTTTTTTCAAAGGCCAAATCATAGAGGAGAAAACCCCTGGCATTTTAAGTAAATGAGGAGGTGACTCGGCAGCTTTGGGGCAGAGACCTGTGATCTTCAGCGTGCTGCGTCTCTGTCCGAGTTCCTTTCCTGCCTCTGCCCTGCCTGCTGCCGCCAGCCCCAGGAGACATGTTCTCTTTGTTTTTGTTTCAGAGCTCCAGCATTGACTTTCTGGCAAGCCAAGGATTCGACTTTAATAAAGTTTTTCGCAATGGTAAGATGACCTGTGACTTCTGTTTAGAGCTTATAAACCATCAAGACGTTCCTGTAAATTACATCTGGATTTGACTGAGAATTGTCACTTAGTGCCTGCCACAGCTTTAGAGTTCCAGCACAGCACATGCAGCCTTAGAATTTTTGCAAACTCTTTTTTTTCCTGGAGTTTTTCTTGTTTAAACTTTGTCAGCCATGAACTGAACAAGAAAGTAGAAGCTACTTCATGTAGTTCACATGTGGCCTCTGTAACTCCTGGCTGTGTTGTTTGTTCTGCTGGCGGTGTCACTTGGTTGCTTACCTCGTCGCCCCTCCAGGCTTGTTTTCTTGTGTATGACAGGTGGCATAGTGCTTTTGAAAGTTGCTAGATTCCAGCAGTGTTAGAATGAAATCCTCTTTTGCCCTTGCCACATGTTTTATAATTGGAGGTAGTTTCCTGGTTTCTTGCACAATTGGGATGGGGCCGGTGCACCCCTAAAAGGGGACCAGGTTTCCTTCATATACACCCCCAGAGCCCAGCAGGGTTCTTCTGAATAACAGGGAGCTGACCCTTACGTGTTTATGTCTGAGGGGGTGTGAGTACAGGAATGGCTTTCCTCCTTCATTTATTCCCCGAAGATGTTTGGGAAAACCTTTGCTTTCCCTAGCAGTGTAACAGACTGCTATAAATACAATAACTTTCAATTCAATTACTTGAATAATTTGTTTTCAATATAAATGTAGAATTAATGAGTGAAGTAAGAAAGGAGATTTATTGCAACAAAAGTAGTAATCACAGCTTAATCGGGCTCCCGGCCAGTGGCATGGTGGCGTGGTGGCTGTTCTGCCCATCTGGTGCAAGCCTTGACTTCACTCTGCCATGGTGGTTTCTTCAATGCCAGACTCTGTTGTAGCAGTCTGCTTCTGGTCTAAGCAGGCACTGGGCATTTCTTGTTACCGTTTCACCTGCAGCCCCCTCCAGGACAGGTGGAGGCCCGCTGTCGTCCTGGTTTCCCTAAGCAGATTCTAGAGTCTGGGGGCGATGTCGCAGCTCTGTCACCTTCTTTGTGCTAACTTCCCGGGCACGGCATTTACCAACAGCCTCAGTTCTGGTTCATTCTCATTTTCTGTGTTCCTGCTCACTCCCCTGCATTCTGGTGACCTAGCATCTTCAGGGATGGCCAGCACTTGTCTTCTCTTGACCAGCAGACTTCACTTCTTTCTGCGCGCTGCGGGATCTTCCTCAGGGCAGCACTTCCTCTGTCCCTGCCTGCAGTCACTACCCCTTGACCTTACCATTCCCTGGCTCCCTCCCCATGGCTTACCCCTTTCCTACCTGGGCTCGGTCTGCTTGGTCCATCATCTGTCCTCACTTCCTGCCCTTGTCCCCCTGCATCATGCTTGCTCCACAAAGGCCTGGCCTTGGGATTGAATGTGACATCCACCTTCTCTGTTGCTGAGCCTCTGCAGATTGCTGGAAGATGTAACACACCTGAACTAATTTGTCACTCACAGTTTGTGGACACAAACTTCATACAAGCACTCGGTCACATTCAGAAATCCTATTCTCTGTGACCTGGGCATTCCCTCTCCAGTTCTCAATGTCTGTTTTTGTAGCACTTCTTTCTCCACCCAAGTTCAAGACCCTCTCTCTTCCAAGAGGTTTTTTATAGTAAAGGTTATTTGCTTGTTTGGATTTTATTCAGATCTGTTGAGACGCATGCGTTCATTTTTGGCAGTGTGCCACAGAAGCAGTGTGTTCTTGGTGCCTTATGTTACAGGGAACTTGGTCTTTGTCAGTGCTAACGGTGCTGGTGTTAGTTCGGATTGGTTCGTTTGCCAGTTAGCTTTGCCATCAATGAATGCTTCTTGCTTTGATGATTATTGCTGGCAAATGGTATTTTTCTAATGTATCATTATTTCTAAAAATACATTGGGTCCCATGACCTGTATTTGTTCTGGAGACAGAGAGCCGAAGTTCTGTAAGCTAGTTTACTTCCCACATGCCTGCAGTGGCCCAGGCTGGGCTAGATAGAAACTGGGGACCGGGAACTCCATTCTGGGCTCTTGTGTAGGTGGCAGAGACCCAGTTACCTGAGTCATCACTGATGCCTCCCAGGGTCCACATTAACAGGAAGTGGTGGTGGGGAGCCAGAGGCTGGCATCAAACCCTGGCACTCCCAGTATGTAACATGTTAATTGCTAAGCCAGACACTCATGCGCACCACCCCTCTCCACAAGGCTTTTAATTCCTCACATATCATGATAACTAAAAATGTATCTCAAAAACTTTCTCTTGAGATATCTAAATATGTGCAACTCAGGCTAGTTTGGGGGTCAGTCAGTTGAACTGCCATCTGTGAGACTTGCATCCCAGATAGTGCCAGCTTGAGTCCTGCTGCCCTGCTTCTAATCCAGCTGTTGCTAGAATTCCTCATAAAGCAGTGGGGGGTGGCCCAGGTACTTAAGCACTTGGACCCTTTAACCCATGTGGGATACAAGGATGGAGCTCCTGGCTCCTGGCTTTGGCCTGGCCCAGTCCCAACCATTGTGGCCATTTGGAGAGTAAACCAACTAGGGAAAAATCACTTCTCACTGTCTGTGCCTTTCAAATAAATAAAATCTAAGTATTTATAAAATTATCTATGTACAACAGTTAATTTATATGTACATTTAATAATCCAGAAGATAGCTTTTGATTTCTACTTCTTAGGCCCCATGTCCGTTTCTCTCTAGTGTCCCTATCTCATTCACTCCATCTTTCCAGTTGCTTAAACCAAATAACTAAGTTATTTGTTTTTTTTTTAAAGTTATTTTTAAAAAATTATTATTTTTTAAAGGTAGAGTTATTATTTTTTTTAAGGTAGAGTGACAGAAATCAAGATAGTTGTAGAGATCTTCCATCCGCTGGCTTGCTTCCCAAACACCATAACAACTGGGGCTGGGGCTGGAGCTGGGCCGGGCAAGAACCCAGAACTCCTTCTGGATCATCTGAATGGGAGCCAGGGACCCAAGTTCTTGGAGCATCTTGTGCTGCCTTCCCAGGAGCATTAGCAGGAAGCTGGATCAGAAGTGGCCAGGACCCAGATGTAGATGCTTAGATACAGTGTATGGGTACCCCAAATGGCACCTTCACTGCTCTGCCAATGCCCACCCCTAAGTGTCATTCTTGATTTTGCCTTTCCATCTTCCCTCACCTCCTTGATATCAGGGAAATTCTCTCCTATTTCTACAAATTCCCTTTGTCATCTCCATCATCTTACAGAGGGTTACCAGTGATGACCTGCCGCCAGCTGCCTGGTGAGCAGACTGTTGTTGGAGACAGCTCTGCCTGTCCATGTGCGTGTGAGTGGCTGCAGGGACTGAGACAGTGCCTCTGCCACCTGGCTCTTGGAGGATGAAGTTGGCTGACCTCCGAGCTGTTCCCTTGGGCCTGGACAGTGGCTGCTGGTTGGGCTCTCTCTGCTCATTCTGCTAACGGTCAGCATGACTAGTAAAACAAAAAGCAGATACGGTTGTTATCTTGTTTGAAATCTTCGAAAGGCGTTCCATCACTTTTAGAAAAAATAAGTTTCTTTTTTTAAAGGTGTTTAACTGCTGTGTAGACAGATGTCTGTTAGTTATTTAAAAGATTTATGGGGAAAGAGGGAGTAAGGTCTTCCACCTAATGGACTTACTGCTGAAATGGCCACAGTGGCCTGGGGTGGTCCAGGCTGAAGCCAGGAGCCTACAGCTCTTTCTGAGTTTCCCATGGATATGACAGGGGCCTGTGTTCTGTGCCATCTTATGCTTTCCCAGGTGCTCCCAGGGAGCTGGATAGGAAACGGAGCAGTGGGATTTGAACTGTAACTCTAATATGGGGATTCTGATGTGACAGGTAGCAGCCTCACCTGTTGTGCTACAACACTGACCCTCAAAAGAAGCTTCCTCTCGTGACTTGTGAGGGCCTGCTTGATCTTGTTCCATCTGCTCTTCAGCCTGATCTGACCAGGTTCCTTTTGTTCACTCTACTCTGGTCACACCGGTTTTCTGGCTGTTTCTGGGACATTTCTGTCCTCGGCTCGTTTGTGTTTCCCCTGCCTGCAGTACTCTCCTCCAGCTCTGTGCATTTGACTTGTCTCATCCTTTGGGGTTCCTTCAGAGGCTGTTTCTGGGTGTCTTGTAGCGGTGCTTGCCTCCACTCCCGAGCGGCGTCGCTGGGTCACTGAGCTCCCCAGAACTGCAAGCAATGTCCGATGTAACACACGTGCCTGATAAATACTTATAAATACTTCTTTCAAGAAAGAATATAGGAGGGAGTGAATAAATAGACCAGCACATTTCAAAAATGGCTTATTTCTGTTGGTTTTAGGGGTGTAGTTAGATATGTAAGGTAAATATTTTCGAATATTTTCGACTCAGGTTTGTTAAAAAAACTTTTTTATACTTTTTGGTTTATTAAAAAACTTGATGGTAAACTCTTACTTTTGCTGTTGCCTTCTTTTTAAAATTGTGTTTAGGAATTCCGTATTTAAACCAGGAGGAAGAAAGACAGTTAAGAGAGCAGTATGGTGAGAAGCGCTCGCAGGCCAATGGCGCAGGAGGCCCTGCCTACGTGTCCCCCAACCCTTCCAAGCACCCTGTGACGATTCCCGAGGATCAGAAGAAGTTTATTGACCAAGTGGTGTAAGTTCCCGAACTGACCAAAACTGCACTGAGTGGCATGCACGGCGCCAGGGCTGATGCTTGCATCTCCAACCTGCGTTATGCACACACGCAGTATGCACACGAGTGTGCACTGAGTGGCAGGATTTAACAGTGCAGTATCTGATTTTTGCAACATTAGCATCTTGTAAACAGTTTTGCATGTTGCACTGGGACATGCTGCATGTCAGTAGGCAAGAGAGCTCAGCAGCTGGGCAGAGCTGCCCGGGGCGAGGGGCCTGCTGGCCTCTGTCCAGGTTTCCTGAGGCACAGGAAGGGGTCAGACCCATCCAGGTTGCCTGATGTTCCTGACAAGTAAATGTACCAATGGAGGAGTATCTGGATTTGTTTGTTTCTTTTTGAAATAATTCTAATGATTATTTTAATTATCCCTACTTTTGGGGTACTCATAATTCAGTATGTGGATTTAATATGTGATGACTAAGTCAAGTCAGTTAGCATTTCTGCTTCAGCATTGCTTAGTTATCTGTATCACTGTGTTGGTAGAATAGAAAAGCCAAAAATCACTTGAGAAGTTGTCACTAATTCATAATGACAAGCTGAACTTGGTAGTTCTGCCGTGCTATGTTGGCATCACTGTAGATGGACAGGAATAAGAATCAACGCACCTTCTGCTTGGGCTGTTTCTGAATATGGTTACTCTGTTGGCAACCTTATTTCATAAAGGGACTGATGGTTATGGTGTCACTCTAATTCTACAGAGAGAAAATAGAAGATCTGTTACAAAGTGAAGAAAACAAAAATTTGGATTTAGAGCCATGTACTGGGTAAGTTTTCCTGAACAATTTTGCAGTGTTTTCTGAAAAGGTAGATGATCTCTGGCAGCTGATACATTTGCTTTTTTAAAAAACAGCACTTTCATAACTGGCCTTTTTATAATAGGTTTGTTCCCCAGAGGTAAGCGTGAACTTTAGCATTAACACAGGGAGGACAGTTGTACCTTGAAACACTGAATGCGTGCTTTGTTCTGCCCCTGCTGGGATGACAGCTGTTGTGCACCCGTGGCTTGCGTTGGGCCTTGGAGGGGGCCTCAGCGCGCTGGCCTGGAGAAGCGGGAGGTCCGGCAGGGCTTCGCAGGAGACCCGCGCCGCTGGCTGCATGCACGCTTTTCATTTTCCCTCAGCAGTGACAGCGTCAGCGTCTCACAGTCCCCAACTTGATCATCTTCCTTTGTCCTTCCTATGAAGCTTTGCAAAAGTGTTTTCACACACTTGTGAACTTTTAAACTTTCTGTGTAGCTGTAGGAAGTAGTATTTTAATTTGATAAGAACTTCTGCCTCTTCTATTAAAGCTATCTAGTAGCATCAACGTTTTAATAAGGATGGATGACAGGAGTCCTACCACCTTGGCTTCCTGCCTGTTTCTGTTCACATACTCTCTCATGTCTCAGCCAGTGTGTCATCGGGGCTTACTTTTCACGATCCAAAATCAATAACTTTTTCTTTTCTTTTGTAGGTTCCAAAGAAAATTGATTTATCAAACTTTAAGCCAAAAGTAAGTTGATATTGTATGTGGGCGCTCTTGTTTTAAAGTCCCTTTAAAATAAGATTGTAATTTATTTCTTGAAAACATAGAATGAGATCCTTGATCTGCTGGCTTACTCTCCAGATGCGCATCATAGCCATGGCTGGGTCAGCCTCAAGCCAAGAGCCTCAAGCTCGCCTGGTCTCACGCCTGCTGACGGGAACTCGAGTGTCTACCCTATCACCTGGCCCTCCCGGGTGTATTCCCATAGAGGCTGGCTTAGAACAGAGGCATTACTTGAACCCAGATACTCCCCTGTGGGATGCAGGCATCTAGGAGTGTCGCAACCCTTGTATCACATGCCTCCTGCCTCCTTTTCATAAGCTGGGTATCCACTTCGTTTATTTTCTTTGTTGTCATTTCTTATTTGAAAGACAGAGCAGAAGATCAGGAAAGACAGAGATCTGTCCCCCAAATGGCTGCGATGTCCAGGAATGGACCCGGAGTTAAGAGACGGGAGTTTTGTTCTGGTTTCTCACATGAGTGACAGAAGCCCAGGCACGTGACTCATCTTCCATTGTTTTCCTGTGTGCATTAAAAAGCAGCTGGATTGGAAGCAGAGCAGCTGGGAATCACACCAGTGCTGTGGTGTAGGTTGTCAGCTGTGCAAACAGTGGCTAAACTTGCTGCACCACGATGCCAGCCTCATCCTTTCTTATTCGATAATTTAAAAAAGCCTTTTAGAAATTTCTTTTATTGGGTTTGGCATGGTGGTATAGTAAACTACTCATTTGCCTGTGGCGCCAGCATCCCCTATGTTCGTGTCCTGGGTGCTCTACTTCTGCTCCATCCACTCCCTGATAATTCCTGGGTAAGTAGCAGGGGATTGTCCAAATCCTTGGGACCCTGAACCCATGTGGGGAAGTGGAAGACGCTCCTGGCTCCCAGCTCCAGACCAGCCCAACTTTAGCCATATTGGCCATTTGGGGAGTGAACCAACTTAGGCATAGTGGCCATTTGGGAAGTAGATGGGAGACTCATTCATTCTCTCTCTCTCTCTCTCTCTCTCTCTGCCTCTCAGTAATTCTGACTTTCAGGTGAAAGAAATCTTTACAAAAATTTCTTTGAGTTATCGCTTTGGCCACAATCATTGATCTCTGGATATGATCAGTTTTGTTCTTTGAATGTGTGTGTTAAAGATTAGATTTTAGGGCCTGGTATGGTAGCCTTGCGGCTAAAATCCTTACCTTGCATGCACTGGAATCCCATATGGGCACTGGTTCATGTCCTGGCATCCCACTTCCCACCAGCTTCCTGCTTGTGGCCTGGGAAAGCAGTTGAGGATGGCCCAAAGCCTTGGGACCCTGCACCCATGTGGGAGACCTGGAAGAGGCTCCTGGCTCCTGGCTTCAGATCAGCTCAGCTTTGGTCATTGTGGCTATCTGGGGAATGAATCAGTGGATGGATTCTCTGTCTCTCCTCTCTATCTCTCCTCTTCTCTATATGTCTCAACTTTCCAATAAAATTAATAAATCTTAAGAAGAAAAAAGATTTTATATTAAGACTTTAGAAATATTCCAGTGAATGCTTTTTCTGAAGCGGGGAGTTATTAAGTTAGAGGTAAGCCGTGGGGGACTTGGAGTGGCCGCTGACTCCCTTGAATTCCAGTGAGAGTTCTGTCCGCAGGTTCTTTGTGGCTTACGTAAATTAACCAGTGGGTCTCGGAATCGAAGTTAAGCACCAGCATTGGACAGGAGGCACTTGTAGCTCTTCATTTTCTTGATCATCTTTTTGTTTACAAGGACACTTGGTGCTAGACTTTGGGTCATTATTTTTTTATTTGAATCTGCCAGTAACATGTACTGGGAATATACCTGAAACAGAACAGCAAAGGGCCGAGGTCTGGTTCGCCTGGGCTCTTTCCTGTCCCACACGGCCCACTCGGCACGTGCTGCATGTCCTTGGCTCCTCCGGACTGGCGTGCACAGCTACAGCCGACTGCAGCATCTCCAGCCGTCTCTTTGAAGCACTCAGCAGATGGAAAAGACCTTCCCAGTTTCCGTTACGAGATAGGCATTGTTATATTTGAAGGCAAGATGATGAGATGACTATATAATGAGATACAAGGCACTTTAGAAAACATGTAAGTCCTAAAAATGTTCATTTGAAATCAGATGTGTTCCTGTGTATTTAAAGTCAGGATCAGGGAAACCTGTGGCAACTGAAATGTAATAAAATAGGCTTACTATAAAGTCTTCATGGTAGTGATGCTTATTTTATATTTAATGGAGTGTTGCATTTAGTTTATTGCTAGGTAATTGCTTTTAAAAATAGCTGGGGTTTTTGCTGTCATTAACTCACCTGCTGATTGCAAGTTTTCCTTGTTTTCTGTAGATACCCCAAAGGCATTCATGTTGAGACCTTGGAGACGGAGAAGGTAACACCAGCGATGGTTTGGGAGTGATATCGCACAGGCAGTAGCACATGTGATGTGTTGAAAGGCAGAAGTTATGCTTTGGCTGCTTCCCCCATGAGCTGGGTAATACTGGGCCAATCATTTAACCTCTCCCTAAGCCCCACTTTGCCCATGTGCCCGTTAAGACTGAGTGTGGTAATGGTCCATCCCTGCCTCACAGCTTTCTTTGGTGGCAAGTAGAATGAGCCTGCTCTGTCAGTGGAACCCGCAGGTGTTGGCTCGCGCTCGTCACTGTGGCACGATGCTGTGACAGTCGCAGACAGTGGCCTGGCCCTCTGTGGGCAGGCCCGGGTGAATGTTAGAATCCAGTTCAGAAGCGTGAAGATCGCTGTTGTCATGCATTGCCAGCCTGCACCGTCAGAGCCACGAGGGGCTCAGTTGTGGCTTCTGTGCGTTTTTTGGGAAGGTGTTTGAAATTTGTTGCTCATTCAGTCAGATATCAAATTAGAATTAAATAAATTGACAATTTTGATAGATGGTGAATCTCGGACTTTGACATAGATTTCATTGTATGTTGTATACAAAATACGACGTATAGGCAAGAAGGCACTATATAACTAGAACATTATGAAAACTACAGGTTTTTTTTCCTTATGTTTACAAAATATCTCAATATTTTAATTTTTAGGTTCAGGAACAATTCTTACTGATATCTGTTAGGTTGAAATAATAGATCATGAGAGAATGTGATGAGGACTCCTGTGTGTTAGGCCCATGTGCAGTGGTATGAGGGTGCTGACTGCTCACGGTCACGCGTGTGTCTGCTTTATGTCTTGTAGAAGGAGCGATATCTAGTTATCAGCAAAGTAGATGAAGAAGAACGCAAACGGAGAGAGCAGCAGAAGCACGCCAAGGAACAGGTAACGGCGTAGGTGACGCTGGCCGAGAGGCACTCCTGCAGCCTGTGTGTTGTAGGTCATAGGCTGGGTTCCATTGAAAGAGTACTTTCTACCATAGAGGAATTGAATTGGCAGAAGAGCCTAGACTAGCGGTAGAAGTTAAAGCATTAAGATGTAGTCAGCACGGTGAGCGTCCTGGCTGACCTCCCTTCACTGAGACAGCCGTTGGAAACACATGCTTAAGCAGGTTGCTTGCTGACCGCCCGGTGACTGATGTAGCTGTATTAAACCTCACGCAGTTTCCGGTTTTCCTAAAGCGCAGTTCAGGTCTGACAGTTTCAGCTGTTATGATCACATGTGCATTGCTGTAATGTCGCCTTCTTTACTCTGTTGAAGAATGGATTTGAGTGACTAATTAAGCTGTGGAGTAACCTAGCTAAGAGACAGCACTGACCTGGAATGGCACGGTTAGTAGCAGAGTGAAAGGACTTTGGAGGTGCGGAAGGTAGAATCCATGAGATTTAGGATTGGGTGTGGGGGGGGAGGAGGAGGATGTGGGTGTTTGAGCACCTAGGTGGACTGGGGTGGTACTGGCGGGGCACATAGGTGGGTGGAGCAGGCCGGGGTGAGTTAGCCTGTGGGTTTGTCAGCTTAGGTTAACACAGGACCACTCCTGAATGAAGTCAGTGAAGATAAAGATTTTGACAGCTTATCACCAGCACAAAGAAAGGAAGACCAGCAAAAGGTGACAGCTGTCTGTTGTTCTCGTCTCATACATCAGAAGGACAACGCTGAGAGCAGAGGGGCTGGGACTGGCCTGCAGCCTAGTGCTTTTGTTGGTATTGATTTGAGAGACAGATGGAATGAGCTGTCATCCTGTGGTGTATTCTCCCCGTGTCCATAAGGATTGGGGATGGGACTAGACCAAGGCCAGAGGCAGGAGGCAGGGATTCAGTCCAGGTCTTCCATGGGAGCGGCAGAGACCTAGTTTCTTGAAGCATCTTGAAGCTGGAATTAAAATACAGAGCTAGATATTGAAGCCAGGTCCAGTGTAGGATATGGTTGTTTGAAGTGCTGGCGAAATGCCTCTTCCAGCCTAGTGCTGTTATATCGGACTCTGGAAGGGGCATGCCCCACTCCCCTAGCTCAAGCCAGCCCTGCAGAGAGAAAAGGGGTGGCGGGACAGAATCTCCTGGCAGTCCCTTTATCAGCCTTGACCTCCTGGCTACCTGTGTGGCTTATTTGGATGTGGGGAAAGCTGCTAGGGCATCCTGGCAGAAATGCTCTTACAGTGGAGAAAGGTGTCCCATTCTGGCTCTGGCCCTACGAGGCTTTAGGTGCGTTGTGCCCTTGAGCAGGAGAAAGGGCCAGGCTAGCCTTGGGTGTCACTGACAGAGAGACCAGGCCCAGAGCAGAGCGTATGCTGCCGTGCCCTGAGAAGTGTCCTGGGGCAGCCCTGAGGACCAGTAGCGTTGAAATAATGGGTGGAAGCACAAAAAATGTACCAAGAGGCGACTATGACATAGTCAAGACGAGAGGGTGTTTTTTCCTTCTGTAAAAATACATAGTACTTGAAAGTTGTTTTTTGTGCTGGTGGCAGAACACACAGTAACGTAAAATTTTCCTTGTGAAGCTTTTGGATGTGGTTCGGTGGTTCAGCGGCGTCAAGTGCATTCACCCTGGTGTACAACCATCGGCATCACCGGCTCCAGAAATCTCAGCTTTTTTCTTTTTAAAGATTTGTTATTTATTTTTATTGCAAAATCAGATATATATAGAGGAGGAGAGACAGAAATATCTTCTGTCCGATGATTTGCTCACAAAGTGACCACAATGGCCGGTACTGCGCCGAGCCAAAGCCAGGAGCCAGCAGTTTCCTCTGGGTCTCCCGTGCGGGGGCAGGGTCCCAAGGCTTTGGGCCGTCCTCCACTGCTTTCCCAGGCCACAAGCAGAGAGCTGGATAGGAAGCGAGGCTGCTGAGATTAGAACTGGCGTATGTATGGGATCCCAGCACATTCAAGGTGAGAACTTTAGCTGCTAGGCCACGGCGCCGGGCCCCAGAAATCTCATCTTGCAAAACTGCAGTTGAATGCAGAGTTCATGAAGCAACTCCGTGTTCTTTCTCCCCAGCCTCCACTAGCCCTTGGCAGGACCAATCTGTTTTCTGCCCTAGGAGTTTTGACCACTCTCTCTTAGAAGTGGAATCAGTATTTGTCCTTTAGCTTCCTGCCCTTAGCAGTGTCGTCCAAGTTTACCCACTGTGTAGCATGTGTCAGAATGTCTGCTTTTTATGGCTGAAAGCTGTTCCCTTGTGTGGCTGTGCTCGTTTTGTCTGTCTGGTCATCTGCTGACGGCGCCGTGACCAGCGCTGCTGTGAACTCGGGTGTGCAGCTACCTGCTGCAGCTGCTGCTTTCAGTTCTTTTGGATGGCTACCTAAAGTGGAGTTGCTGGATGCTGTAGTAAATTTTTTTTTTTTTGAGAAAAGTCTTTAACTGTGTTCTCCAGTGACTGCACCGTTTGATGTTTCCATTGCTAGGGCGTACTGGGATTCCAGTTTATCTGCGTCTTTGCAACGCTTGTTAACCTTGGGAGTAATTGTAAAGAGGTGAGCAGTTTCAGTGTGAGTGGAGACAGAGAGCACAGGGCTGAGAATGTGAGTGAGGACCGGTCTCAGGGCCGTGCAGGGAACACCTTGTAAAAAAATGTTTGTGTCAAGAAAGGAAATCAGGAATTACAAATCACTCTGTTGCTAGTTTCCTGACTTTCATGCATTATTGCGTTTAGCCAGCAGGTGGCGTGTTTTTAAAGGCACCTAGGTAGACTTGAAAATTCCAACAAATTGTGAAGTAATGGGAAAACTCTAATTACTTTTATTTCGGTAACTAATGAATTATTTTCCACTCATTCCAGTTTCTGAGCAGCAGAAAGGTGGATACATAGATCATTTTAGATGTACCTGTTTAGGATGATAGTATAAGGCATGCGAAACTTAAGCTAGCTAGATGTGAAACGGTGTTTAGTGCATTCAGATATAGTTACCCCTCCATCTCTGCAGGTGACTGATTCTGGAATCGCTGTGGAGCCCACAATCTGCAGAAAGTGTCACAGTATAAGAATACAGTCTTGTGTGTATTGTCTCCTTGCTTTTGAATCACCTCTAGGTCACCTGGAGTACCTAACCAATACAGATGCTGTGTTAGGTAGCAGTTGTGTTACAGAACAATGTCAGGAAAAATATCTATGCAAGTTCAATAAAATGCAGATTTTGGGGGATAGTTTCCATCCTGATTGAACCCCAAAATGCAGTACCCGTGGATAAGGAAGGTCAGTTGTACATGAGTGGTTTTGCTTTTTGTTTTGTTTAATTAGGAAGAACTGAATGACGCCGTGGGATTTTCTAGAGTCGTTCATGCCATTGCAAATTCGGTAAGTGAACTGGATTTTATTTCTTGAGGATAGGTAGACATAGTGTTTCAAATGAAGTACCCCATTATACATGAATCATTTTGTCACATTTAGAATGTTGACCTGATAGGAAGCAAGGAGTTAGAATCTCACAAGGACGGATTGTTAAAATGTTCTTAGTGAGAAATCAAGATTGTGGTGTTCTAGCCAAACCATTTTCAAGAAAGGCTTTCCTATGAAATATATTGGAGAACCATACCATGATGCTTTAAAACTTGTCTTGCTAAATGAAACAAGTTTTTATTTTTTCTACTAATGACAAATAGAATGAATAGATGGGTAAGAAATAATGACAGATACAGCAGAAGTTTGACCGAAGGTGTTTTGTTCTCAAACTAGAGTGCAACAGGTGTCAGCAAGTGAAAAGCAGTGAATTTTCATTCAGTAAAACATGCCTCGTGAATTTTGACATAAATGAAAATGAAAATTTATTCTGTTTAGCATAACTAGAAATTAGGTTTTTTGAATATTTAGAAATTTATTTGAAAGCCAGATGCGAGAGTGCTTCCTTCTGCAGGTTCACTCCTCAGCCGTCGACCAAAGCTGAGGCTGCTCCAGCCGGGACAAAAATCACCTGTGGCTTGCTTCACAGAGTTCTAAAATATGTGTTTGGAGTTTTGTTTGCAAGTTACTTGACTGTCTGAAGGACTCAGAGTTTTAGATTTTGACCTTTGGAAAGACGAGGACACAGGAAAGCGGGACCAAGTGGCATTGTGACTGTCCTCTGCGTGTGACACTGCAGTGCCCGAGAGGTGCAGCCAGCCCCAACTGCTTGACTTTTGTGTTCTGTGTGTATGTTTTTATTTTAGTGTGGAAATGTACGTTTACCTCAAATTTTTCTTGGAATCTGAGCCGTACATTTTTTAGCCCCACTTCAGTGTGATTCTGCGCCTTTAGTCTTTCCCTTGCCTTTGACTTTCTTCAGGGAAAGCTCGTGATTGGACACAACATGCTCCTGGATGTCATGCACACAGTTCATCAGTTCTACTGCCCTCTGCCTGCGGTAAGTGGCTGGCCGAACCCGCTGTGTCCTCCCAGCCCCTGCTGGGCTGCCACCTTCTTGGATGCATGTATTCCCAGAGAAAATTTTGACAGGCTGTGGAAATGAGCTGTTTTAAGGGGTCATCACTCACTTTGGTCTTTACCATTCAAGGGACACGCTTTGGTTTCCTTGTCTTCATGTCAGTGGCTTACTCATTTTGTGTTGAGTAGGAGTTCCTAGGCCACAGGTGTAGGCTACTGGCTACAGCTGATTTAGATGGGTCAGTGCCGTGGGAGGTGCCAGCTGGGCTGGGTCTGGTCCCAGGGGAGTCCTGACTGCCTCCCCCTGGTTGCTTCCCTTCGCTATTCTGTTGACTGTGGTGGTGGCTCTCACTCCTTCAGCCAGGCCATCTCAGTGCAGCGAAGCACACACCTCCTGGTCTGTCCTCAGGACACTTCCTGTCCTGCTCCCTGGCGGTGTGGCAGATCTCACTGTCCCCCTGCTCCTTAGTCACCCCTTCCTCCACTGCTTTACTTTCTCTCTCAGTTTTCTGCTGGTGGTGCTCTAACCTGCTCTGGTGTTCAGCTATGAACACCAACATCTGTACCCTCACTGTCCTGGGTTCCAGGTGTGCGGCTCGCGGCTTCTCCGTGGTGGGCAGCCTTCAGACCAGGTGTGCTGGAGAGTGCACATGTCTTGAGCAGGATATTTAATTTAATTTAATTATTTAATTTATTTATTTATTTATCCCCTAACCAGTTCTTTCTCGTGATTCCATTACTGTCAGTGACATACAGTCTCCAACCTTGTTTTGATTCTCCAATTTTGATTCTTCCTTTTGTCCCTGGATCTGATTATCAAATTGTGACAGTTTGCTCTCTATACTGTCTCTGATTTGGGGGTTATTCTAGTTTCTGGTCCACGAAGCCTTATTTCTCATCAGGAGTATGGGAAACTGCAGCAGGCTTCCCTGTCCTACTTTGATAATTGGTTTGTCCTTTTATCCAGAGACAGGCACGTTTTTTCTGTGAAGACCCACATGGTAACGTATTTTAGGTTTTCTAGACTTGTCTGTATTCTTATGTCACCTGTCAGCTCTTACCACTGTCCTTAAAATATATCAACTAAAGGTCGTGGATATGTTTTAAGAAAATATGACCTACAGGCCATTAGTTTGCCAATCCCTGCTTTTAGCGGCCATCAATTTCAATTAATTTTATTTCTGAACTGGAAGGCACCTCCTTCCGAATCCAGTGCCGTATGTGGGTCTGTAAACTTTCAGGTCCTTCCCCTCTCTTAAGTGACGTCGGCCCAGCAGTGTATAGGTCACTCTGCTTTTGCAAAGTCTGAGTGGCACAGCTCTGAGTGCAGCTGATTCGTGGCTGCCGTTGTTTGCAGTCTGAATGTTGTCACCACCCTCTGACCCTTTGGGACTCAAGGCTTCCGGGTTGTGAATCTCAAGACCAGTGTGGTGGGTGTGCATTTGCAGTCTTGACCATGACCTTTTAGAAAGTGTTGGTCTGCAGCTGTGTGTTGGCCCTGGAGGTAGCCATGAGTCTACTTTTTTCACGCTCACAAAGCTTTGTAGTGGTACTAAGAGCTTACAAACAGTCATTATTACATTTTTGTTTGAGCTCTGAAACCACTTGTCATGCATTGTCCATTAATTTAATGATAACCATTGAAAGGCTGGAGAATAGTTTAGGCTCACTAAATACAGACTGTGTTTACGGGCTTGGAAAGCTAATTGGGAATGGCAGTTTCCTGTGAAGCATGAATAATGTTGAAAAGCAGTGTAGTTTACAAAGGGTCAGGAGTGTGACTACTCAGTCTAGCATGGCAATTATGTATGTAAATGGACTCATTCAAAATTAGAGCACTCTCAGTTCTAGACTTCCTGGTCAAAATAAACTTGAGGAAATGAATTGTCTAATTTAGACTCTTGGTTTTAGTGCCCATTTTAGCAATTTTCTGAATAAAGCAGAAGTCATAGGTGTATTGGGAGGTGTGTGTTTTAATGGCTGTTTATTTAATACTTCAAAGGTGCAGTGGAGGTTTACTGGAGTTTATAGTCCGTCTAGTTCCTGTACAAGCCATTTAATTCAAGTGTTCCATGTAGTCTCCCTGTTATGATAAGTTTGTGTCATAGAGCACAGCGGGGTAGCTGTTACTACACCTTTTCTAGCCTCCCAAATACGTAGGTTTCTATCTGTTCTAGAAACCTCTCCCCTGCTATTTCAGCCATAAAATTTTTAAATGTGACAATTGTGCTTATGCAAAGATTTGTTACCAGATTATGTGGTTCCCAATCAGCGAGGAAATTAGAAAATTTACTAAAAAGTAACTATTAACCAGAAATGATTTTTGCAGTTTAATTTAAGCATGAGTGAGGCATGACCAGGGAGACACTAAAACCTGAACTGCTTCTGTACTTTTTTTAAATACTCCGAGTGTATGAAGAAAACTGTAGCAAATCATTGCCTTGTTTTTTAGGACTTAAATGAGTTTAAGGAGATGACAACATGTGTTTTTCCCAGGTAAGCATTCTTGAGAATTTATCTTTCATCTGAAATAGTCATTGTGACTTACACCATGCATTGATACCTTGTGATTTATGGTACTCAGTAGGTCATAGCAGGACTCCGGTGGATACAGGCTAGGGAGGATTTCATATCCCCAGCTTGGTGACAGTGGAGTTTAATAATTCATGATGGGTTGAGTTATCACACTGAGAGTGAAAGTTTGAGCTGAGCGTACAAGAAGATAGAAACTCCTTTTTTCTTATCTCACACCTTGTGTGCTCTAAGGAACTGCTGAGGTCACGCTGGTCTCTCTTATTTGTAGAGTGTGCCTTGTGACTCTGCAGGTGTCCCTTGAGAATGCTCGCAGCAGGCGACAGAGAGCTGGCTGGAGACTCCCCCTCCACTGTAAGGCAGTGCTGCTTTGGGTGTTGTCCACAGTTGGAAGGACATGTTAGATCTGTTAGGTCATGTGTCATACGGGCCTGCAGCTGGGCTGTTGGTGCCCTGGACTCCACATGTGCACAATTAATGTGAAAAGAAGTGCAGGTTTTCTGTAGTCTCACTCTAATTCTCTTTCTTTCTCTGTTGAGCCTTAACTCTGTTGACATATCACCTTTAATATTTCCAGTCTCTGAAACAGAATAATGTCATATTGGTCTCTCGAGTATTTCTGGTCTGAACTAATGAGAAACGACAATAGTGTGAAGCTGCTAAAATGCAGATGTGTGCCTTCCATAAGAATCCCTACAAGCCTGGGCAGAAGCATTGATGATAACCTCATGGGAGTGCCAAGTGTGCAGCCCTGCTGGAGCCCTGTGCAAGCCTAGGGGGTGCTTGACTTCCTCTTGAGACTCAAGGAGCCCACACTTTGATGGTACAGGCAAATCTGGAGCTCTTGTCCTGGCCACTCCTTGGTGTGGACTGGCCTGAGGCCACTGGACGAAGTCTGGTGATGCTCCTGAGCCCTGATGATGGTATAGCAAGGATGGCACTGCCAGGGTCAGGTTGACTCATGTGTTATGTTCCTCTTACCACTACTAAGTATTTAAATGTTTCAGGTATGAAATACATACCAAGTATGTATTTTGTGGAATAAGTACATATTAAGTAGATGTTTTATGTTTTTGAATAAGATATATTTTGAACATTGATAGACGTTTTGTTTGCCTTGCTAAAATTTTTTTTGTTTTCAGACTTTTGGATACGAAGTTGATGGCCAGCACACAACCCTTTAAGGTATTACCTAAATTTGAGGTATCACTGATAAGCTAGTTTTTGACATTTTCTGAATTACTATAAAGGGCTTTAGAATTCTGGTATATTTAAATGTCATTTCAATATATATGTATAGGATTTTTTACTTGATTATACATTCACCTAGTTCTTTATTTTCCATTTTTACAAAAAATATTTATGTGTATCAGAATTCATACTGAACAGGGAGTTTTGGGTTGCAAAACAGGCTATTTTTGCACTTGTCTGTAAGTCTGTCCAGAGTTAAGCAAAAGCGCAAGTGCTATGGATGTATTTTCAAATTGAAATTCTAGTCAGGGTAATTGCGACTATGGAAGGTGACTTTTATCTGAGTTAGGTAAGTGCCAGACACGTATTGCTTAACAGTAAAGGATCTTTCGTATTTAGCATATCTGTAAAATACCTTCTTTCATTGTACTTTCCTTTCTATATAGTGGAAATTATACTTGGCTGCTTCTCTGGCACACTGAACGAGCAGCAACAGCTTCTGAGTTTCTTTGAAGAGCACAAGGGGGCAGCACTGGAGGCTCTCCCTGTTCCTCTTCCCTCCTCCTGACAGGCAGGGAACCTGTGCATGTTGCACTGAGATGACGGATTCTCCTAACTCTCGGCTTCCTGGTTTGCAGGATATCATTAGCAACACATCCCTGGCAGAATTGGAAAAGCGGTTAAAGGAGACGCCTTTCAGCCCTCCTAAAGTTGGTAAGATTATTCCCACCCTTGACAACCCGCACACTCAGTGATGGTGGTTGATGTGATCGTGGAAGGGATGGGAGACCCGGCAGCACTGGGTCTGGCTCAGTGTGCTCCTGCCCTGGATGTTCAGTCACTGTTTCCTGAATAAAGATAGTCTCCTAATTATACATTTATCTTATGCTAATGAAGTTGGATAGGCATTCATTGAGAAGTTGGGTAATTAAAGCTTCAAGGCTTTTATTTCCTAATGCTTGGAATTCTCCCAAAACTTGATGTGTTCCCCCTCCGTTCTTTACCCAACCCCCACCCGACTGTGGTGCATATTTTAAGCAGAGACAAAAAAGTTGGCTATCGCCATGGGTAAAATGAAAATGTATTCACTGTCTCAGGACAACGTAAGAAGTGAGTTAACAAAAGAGAGTCAGGCCTGCCAGGCCTCCTCCTGAGCCAGCTCAGAGAGTGCAAGTAAGCAGTGAGGCAGATCAGCGGGGGTATTTGGGAGGTGTTTGTTGGCGGCACCACCGGTCCTGGGTGAGCCTTCCAGGTGCTGCTTCCTCGGAGTCTGACGGCCTGCTCGGGCTGCGGATGCTGTGCGCAGCGTTCCCTTGCCTGTAGCCTCACATCTAAAAGACCTCGATAACAGGAGAAGTGCGTTAGAGACTGCTCATGAAAGGTATTAATGCAGCCAAGGTCGTGGTTACTTGCTTCCCTTTCTGAGTAGTAGTGCAGGAAAGAAATGAAGAGGTCAGGGTGAGAGGGATGGGGAAAGAAAATTTAGACCTATCCTGTAACGAATATAATGACAATACTTGATTTGGAAAGTAATGTTTTTTGGTTGGTAGAGGAGGAAAGGCTATTACTTGGATGGCTACCATGTTAAAAGGCTTTTTCTGAAAGCAAATATTTAACACTTAGCAGAGATTGAAGAATTTTTATTTAAAAAGAATTGTATGAACATCAAGAAGTTGTAGCTTTTTTCATGTTAATTTAAATTCATGCTTTTGATTCTGTGTTAACCTGCTTGACTTGCATTTTCAGAATGATTTAGGGAAATGATACTTAAGAGTTACGGTTTTATCTTGTTACTTCTCTATGAAATTCTGGTGCCTGCTGGAGCTCAGATTGAGGCAGGTTGCGTCTCAGGCTGGTCCTGCCAGCGTCCATGTCTGCCGGTGTGACAGGAGGCTGTGCTGCACAGTGGTCTCCGCTGTGGTGTGGACCCTGTTCCAAGGGCAGTGTGACAGACTTTCTGATGTGTTTGGGGAGGTGGTTGTGCTGGCATCTTAGAACCTGTCAGCTTCTAAGGACAATATAAAGGACATTATAAAATTTCAGCTGCCAGTATTGAGCTGCAGCCTTTTGTTTTGGGGGCCAGGTTTTCCTGGAGCATCAATAGATAGCAATTACTGAGTAGTTCCTGCTTACCGAATGCTGGATAAGAGCTTTACTTACAGTATCTCCTTTGATCCTCACAAAAAGCCTCCTGAGGGAGGCGTGATTATCAGCTCTGCACTTTGCACAAGTGGAGGCTCACAGGTGAAGTGACTTGCCCAAAATTACAAGAAAGTGGCAGGGAGAGACTCAGGCCCAGAGGGTGTGACTGTAGGTCCACGATGTACATCTCTGTTGGATCGTCATGTGATTGTTGGGTATGAGGGAGAAATTTCCTTGCCGTGACCTGAGAGCGCAGTCAGAAGAGCAGTAGATAATCATAATTGTATATAGTGCGAAATCGCAAATAATTCGTCCCCAGAATGGGATGGGAAGGCTCATTGGTGATTCTGTGGTAACTAAACGTTATTCTAGATTTTAGACCTTGTTTTCAACGCCTGCTGTCTCATATTTAAGATCGTGTATGGAGAGAATTAAAAAATTATCCAAGTTTGTTTCTACTGGTTTAGGATTTTACTGTAGCACACAGTATTGCAATTTGAATTTAGTAAACCAATGTGCACTTTCCTAGTTTTCATGCATTATAATGTCTTAAGGAAAACTTTTCCCCCCTTTTTTCTTTTCCTTTTAGAAAGTGCAGAAGGTTTTCCCAGTTACGACACAGCTTCTGAGCAGCTGCATGAGGCCGGCTATGATGCTTATATCACAGGACTCTGCTTCATCTCCATGGCCAACTATCTAGGTACTCGGGATGCACCTGCCACTCAGAGGTTTCTGTTGGATCCCAGCTGTTTCCCTGGGCAGACCAGGCTGCAGTAACATCAGCTGGGTCTGCATCAGCAGTTGTTTCCCATGGTCATGGGAGCTGGGAAGGCCAAAGTCAAGGCATCTGCGGATCCGGGGTCATTGTGACCCAAGTTGGAAGATGTCTTGTCTTCTCTCGGTGTCACATCATGGAGAACTGAGAGAGGGGAAGCTCTCTTGTCAGAAGGATGCTGATGCTGGGGGAGTAGGCTTCAGCTTAGGAATTTGGGAGTGATTGGATGATGGGGGTCTGCTCACTCAGTTGCAAGTAGAAGGATTTTGAGGTACAAGTCCTAGGAGACTAGGGGAGGGAAATAGACATTAAGGAGCCACTGACCCCAGGGCTGCTTGTAAGACCCCTCCGAGCACCTTTCACCCTCCGTGAGTGGTATTGATTGAAGTAAAGTTTGGTGTGAATTTTCAGGCTTTTGTCTGTGTGACTGTGTAATACTGCCTCTTTTCTTCATTAGGTTCTTTCCTCAGCCCTCCAAAAGTTCATGTGTCTGCCAGATCAAAACTTGTAGCACCTTTTTTTAACAAGTAAGTGATCAGAAGGTCTTAGTCCTCAAGTTCTGTCACGGTGGAAGAGCCTGGTGCCTGGGGACAGTAGTTTGGGATGGTTCAGAGTTGTTTTAGTAGAATATCTCTCCCCTCTATTAACTCAGATTTTTTTTTTTCCTTAATAGAAAATGACTTGGGAAACAGTTCATTAAATATGTTGGCTAAAAAAAGAAAACATAGCTAAAGATAATGCATCTCTTCTGAGAGTGATTTTGCCATTTAAATTATTTATGAGGAGCAGGCGCTTAGCCCAGATTTTGAGATGCCAGGTGCCCTGAAGGTGTGTCAGGCTTCAGCTCGAAGCTGCAGCTCCCAATTTCAGCTTTGTGCCAGTGCAGACGCTGGTAGGCGACAGTGATGGCTCGAGGAATTGTGTTTACCACTCCCACGGGATGTGTTCCTGCTGTGGCCCCCAGCCAGCCCAAGGCTGGCCCTGCAAGGCTTTGGGGAGTTTTCAGATGTAAATTCCAAGCACTGCAACTCCTACAAAGTGTTTCCTTTGTCTTGCTGTCTCTTCTAGCCCTGGAGTGAATGACTGCATGAGTGAGCTCTAAAGGAGACATGCGTGTATACCGGTTTTACATGAGAGATTATGATTTCTGCCTGCATTATTACCCATATGATACTGTTTCTGAAAAGATGTTATACAAATGGTTTTTCAGATGACCTCTGTTTGCTTATCATTCATTAGTTGCATTGATCCAAGGAAGTAACATATTGCTCCTGTGTCTTCATTGTTTTAAGATGTCAGTGTGATTTAGAGAGAAATATAATTAAGAGAATTTTTTAAGGAGTCTCAAGGTTGTTATTTCAAGGCTTGTTAGGCAAAGTGAGAACTGGCTAGGACTCAAAGCAGCACTTACATGGGGATGTTGGTATGGCAGTCAGCAGTTTAACTCACTGTGCTACAACATTTGGCCTCTCAGAGTGTCTTTTAATACATGTACAATGTGGTGTGCATTGGAAATTAAGTTGAATTATTCTGTATGCAAGATTTGTTATATTAACCACGAATTCTTAGTTCTTAACTCTTGCTTTGAGGGCAGTAATTATCTTTGTAATTTTTTTTTTTAATCTTTGTAAATTCTTTAGAAAGGGTACTTTTGCTATAGACCATGGAATCAGTAACCATGGTAACAGTAGATATGGTTCAATTCATTACTGTTATTTACATTTCTATGTACCTGATACTAAATTTATTGTTCCAGAGGGTTTTCCAAATGAGAGGTATTACTTATTTGTAAATATCTAAAACCGCAATCCTGCTTCTCAAGGTTAAGTCCTTATAAGATGAGGCCATTAGATATGAACTGGATTAGAGGCTTCATCCATGTGTGAACAATATTTCAAGCAATCAAATTAAACAGCTTAGCCACAGGACGAGCTTTGTGATGCACAGGGTAAGGCAGCGCACTGCCTTGCTGGCATCCCGTATGAGTACTGACTTGAGTCCTGCTTGCCCCATATCTGATCCAACTCCTACTGACGTGCCTCGGAAGGCAACATAAGATAGTCCAAACACTTGGGCCCTTGCCAACCCACATGTGAGACTCCAGGCCACTGTGGCCATTTAGGAACTGAACCAACAGATGGGGTCTCTCTCTCTCTCTCTGTTACTTTGCCTTTGAAATAAAATTAAACTTTAAAACTTTGCTTAGCTGCTAAGGCATTCTCCATTCCAGATCAAGCTAACAACACCTACTGCAGTGCCGGGGCTTTGGTCAGTGGGAGCCTAAAACCGAGAACCCGTCATAGATCTCTGTGAGCCCCCCTCACTGCCTGCCAGGGTCTGCACTCAGACCCCGACACTCCAGTGTGCACCTGGGCGTCTCAGCCACTGGGCCAGACAGCCGCTTTGCCCTCTCACCCGTTTGGAGAGTAGAACAGCAGTTGCTTCTATTGGCATCATTTTGTTCATTGACACTGACCTTGGTCTTCTTTGTGGGTACAATTTGTGACATTAAATGCAAGGTTATAAAAAAAAGTTGCCTGAAGCTCATGATTTTAGAAAGAAATGTAAATTTTTATTTATTTATTTATTATTTAAAAATGTATTTATTATTGGAAAGTCAGATATACAGAGAGGAGGAGAGAAAGAAAGATCTTCCATCAACTGATTCACTCCCCAAGTAGCCACAATGGTTGGAGCTGAGCCAAACCAAAGCCAGGAGCCAGGAGCTTTGTCTGGGTCTCCCACACAGGTGCAGGGTCCCAAGGCTTCAAATACTTCATGCAGGCGCCACAGGCTAAGACAAGACTCCAGCATGAGTCCTCTGTGTTTATATCACACCACCAAGACAAGCCACTTGTCTGTGAGGTGGAGGTGTCCACCCTATGGGGCAGTCCCGTGCGAAGGCGCCCAGTGTGGGGTGTAGAACGTGGCCGGTGTGTAGAGCGCAGTTGTTACTGTTGCTTACACCACAGTGAACTTCAAGAAAATGAGTCTGTTGTTTTCTGGTGTTTGGATCCAGTGGTACAAAGGCAGAGTGCGTGGCACGTGCTTAGCTGATTGCCTGTGGGTGGCAGTCTTTGTTGGCAGGAGCCAAGAGGCATGAGAATATGGTGCCAGTAAAATCTTTTTTATGCAGTGGTAGCTTAGTTAATCTTCCAAGAAAACATTTCATGATTGCCCTTGTATTGTAATTTAAGAGGTCATGCTGCAAAGTGGGGTTGTGAAAGATAAGCAAATATTTGCCCTGTAGGTTAGTTGCACTCGTGCAGTGGTGCCACCTGCTGCTGGGCACACTGTGTAAGGCATGAGGCAGAAGAGAGATGCAGGCAGGCTCCTCCTCTGCCTGTGCCACTCTCATCCGTTTCCCCAGAAGCCCCTGGTGATGCCAGGACCGTGGGAGAGAGGAGGGGGCCCGATGAACAGCAGCTGTGGCTTAGGAGCCTTCCTCTCCCAAGAACTTGGTAGTAATTCTCCTTTCTTTGTTCTGGAGTGGTGCTTGGATAAAGGAGTAACACACGGCTTTTAACATATGATGAGTGTCCTGTGCTCTCTAGCTTCTGTCAGACGTGAGTCTCGAACCTGGACGATGTTGAGGATGACTCCATTCATTGAGTAGGCACGCACTGTAGTCCTATTGTGAAGATATTCTCTCACATAAAGAGCAGGGGAAATAAGCCTTTTAATAGAAAAGGAGTCATATTCTCACTCTGGCGGGTCATGCCACTCTTAGAGTGGGATGCCCTGGAGGAGCAATGCCAGCACTGTCAGCTTGAACAGTCTCCCGGGTCCCAGAAGGCGGGAAGCCAGGGCTTCCCTAGCCCGCACAAAAGGCAGTTTATTCTCACATACCTAGACCAAAAACCCTTATTTTGTTTGCGTATCAAGTTCTTTTCATTTGAGGTTCCCTACATTGACAGATGTAAAAAGAGTCTCCAAGAATTGGTTTGGTTACGCTGGTTCCCGTACAGGTAAGGTGAGGCCAGGTTAAGTTGTACTCAAGCCTTTAGTCTGGTTTTTGAAGCCTACTAGCGTCTGTTTCTTCAGAGAGTGCTTACCTCAAGGTGATTCCTGCCTTATCTAATTTCTAACTTGTGATCTTCCTGCTCCCCCCTCCTTCTTTTTGTGAGGGAGACAGGTTTCACCTGCTGGTTCACATCCCAGATGCCGACAATGGCCGGGGCTGGGTTTGAGCCAGCCAGAGCTGATGCCAAGACCTTGGAACTCAATCCAGGTCTCTCATGGGTAGCAGAGACCCAGTCAGCTGAGCCGTCGCTCCTGCTCTCTGGGATCTGCCTTAGCAGGGAGCTGAAATCCAGAGAACTGAGGATTGAACCCGGCACTGATATGGGAAGCCGGTCACTTAACTCCTAGGCTTAGCATTTATTCTTAACTTGAGATATTAATTCTCATAAGAGTAGCAGACCACTTCTATGGCCTCATCAAAAAACCTAGATACCATAGGAGGTATTGGATACAGAGAAAGTAACCATCTGCTGGAGTACTCCTCAGATGCCTGCAAGAGCCAGGCAGTCAGTCTGGGTCTCCCGTGTGGGTGTCAGGGACCCAACTGCCTGGGCCATCAGTGCCGCCTCCTAGGTACACACGAGCAGGAAGCTGGGATCCAGAAGGGACCCAGACCTGGACGTTCCATTAGGAATGTGGCTGTCTCAGGCAGAGTCTTAACCAGCATACCAAAGGCCTACCCATCTCTGGTTACTTTAAACTGCATATCCCTCTGGCTTAATAAATTGTTTACTATGATAATAAAAACTTTGTTGAGGTAAAATTCAGTCCTTCAGCTGCAGAGTGTGTATTTAAACAGCTTTCTGACTCTTTAGGACTGGATAAGCATCGTGTGGCCTCTGTAACCCATTACCCTAGGCTTGGTGGCTTACAGCAGTGGAGGCCAGAGTTCCAAGTGAAATTAGCAGCAGGGTCAGACTGCCTCAGAGGCTCTGCTGGAAAATCTGGGCCTTTTTCTGCCTTCTGGGTGCAGATAGAAGCTGGGGCTCCTTGGCATTGCTTGACTTGGGGCTGCATCATTCCAGTCTCTGCCTCTGTCTTAGGACACTTTGATAGCATTAAGGATCCCGTGTGCATAACCCGTGGGGATCTTCTCATCTCAGTTGTTACTGACACCGAGGAAGTCTTTTTCCACTAGGGCGACAGCCACAGGCTGTAGGGAGCAGAACATGGACAGGTGTTCTGGAGGTCAGCACTCGGCCCCCTGTAAGTGTGGGGGTGTTAGTCAAGTTGGCATTCTCAGATATCCCTAGCCTGACATGGGACTGACCAGGAGCAAGTGGACAGTAATTATTTCCAAGGCTAGTTAGTGTGTAATTCATATGGTTCAAGAGTTACCAGTGGCTGCTGAGAAATGTGGACTATCTACCAAATAGTTGATCCTTTTCGACAGAGCATGTCACTTACGCTGTGCTTTTTTAAAAAAAGATTTATTTATTTGTTTATTTAAAAAGCAGAGTGACAGGAGGAGATGGACAGAAAGGCAGAGTTACTGAAAGAGACA